AAGTGCTGACTAGTCATTACAGCGAGTATTGATTTTTCCTTCAATTGCATCTAGGAAAACAAAGTATGAGTTAAATGGAATCTATTAAAGTCTTTGGTTTATTTAGTCCTTTAATTTTATTTTTATAACAAGGCACTTTTAATGTAATTTAAAATACACATGCTTTGATTGAAGAGTGACTGTAAATGGATCCAGTTTTCTTCCACTTGCGATGATAGCTTTGTCATTTCTTCTAGGAGTACTGGCTCTGAAGGAAGCATTTTAAGATGTAACTGGAAAAAAAAAAGGATAGTTGAACACTACGTTAATTCCTTTTTAATCATGAGTCCTTTCATGGCACTATCATTCCCTTAACAAAGACTTAAGTGCCTACTATCTACCAACAGTCCTAATATAAATCCAAACACAAAGTTCTAGTTTTTTACACTAAATCCTTTTTCATGCTTCTGTGTATTTCTCCACTTTTCTGTCAGTCTGTTGTAATGTGGTAACTTGAGTGCTGCTGTATTTCTACAAAGTATGGTACCAGTATTTAAAATATCAGCAAGGCCACATATGACAGGCAGGTTTCAAAGGAGCTCCCAGACCAAGAGAGACTAGGAACCCAGCAATTTACTTCTGAAACAACTAGACAGTGAAAATATCATGAATAATAGTGGAACAGATCAGATAGACCAGAAGAGGAATGCCACACAGGATGGAAGGCACTTAAAATACCACTGGTGAAGAGCTGCCTTCTCAAAGTAGAGTTGACCTTAATGATGTGGATGGAGTAAAGCTTTCTGGGCTTTCCTTTGCTCATGTGGCACATCTCAAACCAAGAAAGAGCTACAAGCATCCATTAATAATGAGAATGGGAAATGTATTATGTATGGAAAATTGAAGAAAAAAAAAAGATGAAATGGAGTGAATGCAGATCTATACTTGGGCATTGTTGCTGTGCACTGTAGAGTTGGAACGAATCCATAGCTGACCCTCTGGTGGGTTTTCAGAGCCAGTTAATCACATAGGTTAATCACATAATTACTCATCTTTATCCCACAGAGCAGCTGGAGGATTTGAATCCTGTGCCTTTAGGACTGCAGTGCTTCTTCTTCCAACTAGGCCATAGAAATGGACTGGCACTGGTCATTATGAAGTAGACAAACATATAAGTCTACTATGCTGGCATGACAACTTGAAGAGGAATGCATTACAAAAAACAAACAAACAAACAAACTCATAATCTATCTTAAAGTACAACCTAAAGTATGTAAAGTTCAAGGAATAATAAATTGAAGATTTTTACCAACTTCTGCAGCCTGAAATGAATGAAACATACAATTTAAATACATTAACTTCTGGTGACTGAAACACGAAAGTAGGAAACAAAAAAGGATCAGCAGTTGGAAAATACGACCATGGTAATGAGATCTCATTACTTATTCATTCTAAATATCCTTTTCCAGCAACATAAATAATGTCTAATCATGTAGACATCATCAGATAAATAAATAGGAATCAAACTACTACATCTGTGGAAAGAAATGATGGAGAGGCTCAGTATCATCAGAACAAGGAACAGATCACCAACTGCTCATATACAAAGTCAAGTGGAAGGTAAAGAAAACGGAAACAAGTGCACAAGAGTCAACCTAGGAATCTTACTCAAATTTAGAGACTAACCCAAGAATAGATATACTGAACACTAAAGACTGAAGAGTTATGAGATGACAACAAGGACAACAAAGATGAAGAAAGGAAATACATTTAAAAGGCAGAAAAGTATGATCAAAACAGATGTAAGAAAAATGATTATGAAAGCTCTTCAAGCACAGGGAGTAGTCAAGAAAATGGTTGAAAAGATATAAAAGATTTCATAGGATGGCTCAAGAAGACAATTTAAAAAAAAAGACTATGCAAATGTAATTAAACGCACAAATAACTGAAATTAGAAAATCCAAAGAGAACACTTTTAGCAGTTCTGAGTCTGAAAAAAACTGAAGAAAAAAACTTCAAGCATTGTCTACAATGCTGAAGGATTCTATGGGCAAAAAAATATGAAAAGAAAAACAAAAATATACATGAAATGTACCAATAAGAACTGCTTAATGTTAATCATTTCATCAGGTAGCATACACTGAAGAACTGATGATGTGGAAGTAAGAACTCTAAGCTCCACTGAAGGTAGTAACAGAAAACAAGACATGAATAATATCACATAGAAGTAAAATTTTGCTGAAAATCATTCAAAAAAGTTAAAGCAGTGATACAATGACAGGAAACTACCAGAAATTCAAGCTAGTTTCAGAAGAGGCAGTGGAATGAGTGATATCATTGTTGATGTCTAATGGATCTTAACTTTAGGCAGAAAATATCAGAAAGATATTTACTTATGTTTTACTAATCATGTAAAGGCAAATATTTGACAGGACAGATTTACAGATAAAATTGGAAAAAATGGAAATTCCACAGCTCTCAACTACATTCAAATAGATGCAGAATCTGTACATACACAAAGAAACATTCCTTCAAACAGAAGAGGGGAACACTATGTGGTTTAAAATCAAGAAAGGTGTAGGAAACATCCTTAATGGCAAAGAAGACAATCTGTTTTTCATGAAAACATCATTTGCTACATTATCTCCTTCCAGATATTACATCACTAAAGCAGGCGTTCAAAACAGTAGATTGTTCATTAAAACAATAACAATTGGCAATTTTGTTACTATTAAATCACTCCAAATTCCTTCAATCAGTTTAGAGATTTAAGCAGCAGAAAGCAAAACCTAAAAAAATTTGATTTTTCTTCATGAACAAAGTATAACTTCCAAAATTTACCTATCTAAAGCAGCACTGTCTAATAATGGTAGTCAGTAGTCAAACTAATATTTCAGCTGCTCTATAGCCAGTAATGGCTTGTGGTTACATGGTTACTACACTAGATATAGAACGTAGACAACACTGTTATGAATGCAAGCATGTTTAAAAGCAGTGTCTATTGAATCATACCAGACTTACCTTTAGAAATAATGCAAGGTATGCTTGGGCTAACTCAAAGTCACGCTTTTTTTCTAACATTGTTCCAATCATTTTCAAGAAGCTCTGCATGACTTCTATAGACCCACCACAGTCAGGAGACAAGCTTCGCAACTCTGTTTCAATTCCTGATGGGCCTAATTCTTTCAGAAGACGGAGAGCAGGCTCATCTGTGTTAAGTTTCAAAAAGAATTCAATTATTACCTACAATTATTTTACTTAGGAAAGTATTCTGATTCACATGTCAAGCACCTTTTCTTTAAATAGCATAGGAAATCTTCTACATGGATCAATTTTCTCATGCAGTAGTAGAATAAACCCACAAATCAGTGAAAATAAACTTAACTGCAACAAAACAAGGAATAAAATAATAAGAATAATATTAATAATACTTTATTTTTAGCAATCTTTCTTCCCGCTGGTAAGGGTATTAAAGATTATCTAATTATTGCCTTAATATATTCAATAGAAATCTTAATATATTCAAATTAATTTTAACAAAATTCAATATAAATTAGGCCATAAAGATACATATCAAACTATTAACAGTAATTACCAATTATAATAAAATGAGAAAGGAGAACTTTATAATTGTTATAAAAATTATAAAAGGATGGCATTTGACTGCGTGGATCATAACAAACTGTGGCTGACTCTGAGAAGAATGGGAATCCCAGAACATTTCGTGCTAATGCGAAACCTATACTTGGACCAAGAGGCAGTCGTCAGAACTGGCAACACTGGCAGGGCAACACTGTCTGGTTCAAAATTGGGAAGGGTGTACGCCAGGGATGTGTCCTGCCTCCATACCTTTTCAACCTGTATGCAGAGCAGATTATCCTAGAGGCTGGGCTCTATGAGAAGCGTGGCGTTAGGATTGGTGGACGATCTATCAACAATCTGCGTTATGCAGATGACACAAACCTGCTCGCTGAAACTGAGGAGGACCTCATGCACTTACTGCAGAGGGTCAAGGACTGCAGCCTTCAATATGGACTGAGGCTCAATGTCAAGAAGACAAAGATTCTCACCCCTGGACCAATCGGTAGCATCAGGATGGATGGCGAAGAGGTTGAGAGTGTTGATTGTTCACAGCTTCAGTTTGTTCGGCTCCACGGTCAACACTCTTGGCACCAGTAGCCAGGAAATCAAAAAACATATTACAATGGGAAAGTCTGCTGTTAGGGACCTCTCTAAAGTACTCAAGAGCAACGGTGTCTCTCTGGAGACTAAGGTCCACCTGATACAGGCCATGGATTTTGCAATCACTTGTTATGCATCAGAGAGATGGACAATGACTAGGGAGGATAGAAGGAGAATTGACGCCTTTGAACTGTGGTGCTGGAGAAGAGTATTGAATTTACCATGGACTGCCAAGAAAACCAACAGATCCATCCTAGAGAGGGTTAAACGAGGCTACTCCTTGGAGGCAAGGACTCTGGGGCTTCGTCTGACATACTTTGGACATGTTGTAAGGAGAGACAGGTCTTTAAAGAGGGACATCATGCTGGGTAGAGTAGAGGGACAGCGCAGGAGGGGAAGACCCTCTATGAGGTGGATTGATTCAGTGACTGGGGTAATCGGGATGGGTGTGTCAGAGGCCATGCGATTGGCATGGGATAGAGCAGGGTTTAGGGCTGTTTAGGGCACATAACAACCACCACCACCATCTAATCATTAAGAAATACTAAAAATACAGAAATATGAAAACTAAGAGTTGAAAAGTTCCACTCTTTATTCTCACTCATTTAAATCTACTTCTCCTTAGAAGTACTATCACTTAATTGTTATGTGCCGTCAAGTTTCTTGCAACTCATAGGGACCCTATGTACAAGAGCCCTAAATGCCATTCTATCCTGTGCCAACCTCTCTGTCTCAAACACATTCATTCCCACCACTCCACTCACAGAATCAATCCATCTCATCAAGGGTCTCCACTCTCCCAAACATGATGTTTCTCTCCAAGGACCAGTCCCTCCTTGCAATGTGCCCAAAGTATGTCAGACGAAGCTTCAGAATCCTTGACTCCAAGGAGCATTCTGGTTTCACAATCTCCAAGACAAATGTGTTTGTTCTCCTAGCAGTCCATGGTATATTCAACACTCTTCTCCAGCACCACAGCTCAAATGCATCGATTCTCTTTCTATTATTCCTAGTCACTGTCCAACTCTCTGATGCATAGCACATAACTGCAAAGACTATAGCCCAGATAAGGTGCATCAGTCTCCAGCTTGACATCATTGCTCTTCAGTACTCTTGAGAGGTCCCTCACCGCTGACTTTCCCAATGCAGTTTGTCTCTTGATTTCCTGGCTGCTGGTACCAAGAGTGTTAACTGTGGAGCCAAGTAAACTAAAACTGTTCATTATCTCAATCTCTTCACCATCCACACTGATGTTGCCAATTGGCCCAGTGGTGAGAATCTTTGTTTTCTTGATGTTGAACTCCAATCCATATTGAAGGCTGCAGTCCTTGACCTTCTGCAGCAAGCACTTCAGGTCCTCCTCAGTTTCAGCAAGCAGGCTTGTGTCATCTGCATAACACAGGTATTTCATGACTCTTCACCAATCCTGATGCCACATTCTCCCTCGTACAGACTAGCATCTCAGATGATCTGTTCTGCATTCAGATTGAAAAGGTTTGGAGACAGAATACATCCCTGATGGACCCCCCCTCTTGATTTTGAACCATGTAGTGTCTCCTTGCTCTGTTCTGACTACTGCGTCTTGGTCCAAGCATAGGTTTTGCATAAGCACAATCAAATATGCTGGGATTCCCATTCTTCTCAGAGCCAACCATAGTTTTTTTCGTGATCCACATAGTCAAAAGCCTTTGCACAGTCAATGAAGCACAGATAGACATTCTTCTGGTATTCTCTGCTTTTTGCCAAGATCCATCAACATTAGCTATAATATCCCTAGTACCACAATCTCTTCTAAATCCAGCCTGCACATCTGGTAGTTCTCTGTTGACATATTGCTCTATTCGTTTCTGGATATTTTTCAGCAAAATCAATTAACTAGTGGAAATATTCAGTGCACATAAAACCATTTTTATATATGAGGAGATCTATGTCTTTGATATCAGAATAGCAATAGCTGGTGTTGAAACATTTTGGAAAAAGATGCCAAAATCAAAAGTCTAATAAATTTTATTTTCTCTCAGTTGTACTAAACTGTAGTGCTTTTCTTCTGTCTCTACCTAAATAAATATAGGATAATTACAGTTATTTTTCTGTAATTTTTTCAGTAATTTACAAAGACCTACCAGTATCATTCTTTGACTTTCTCTAATATGACTTTTTCTGATACTGAAATGCAAACAAAAACATCCAGATCATAAAATAATGTTGTTGGGCACCATCAGGTTGGAGCCAAGATATAGCTGACCCTCCAGAAGGTATTCAGAGGCAGTAAATCTCACTAGAGGAGACTGCCTATCTCTCCACAAATTGCAGCTGGTGGATATGGACCATGAGCCTTTGGGTTGCCACAGCATTCCTTACTACTAAGTCATCTGAGCTCATACAATAGGATAAGTGGAACTTCCCAAAAGAGTAATTCTTTATCATTATTAACTATAAACTATAACTTTTAAAACTTAGACTTAACATAACAAAATAATATTTTTAAATAATTTTATGGAATAGTTTGGGAATATCTGGAATTGTCTAAGACAAAAGTTTCAGCTTTCCTAAATCTTAATTATAAAGGCTTACCAATTATCTGTTAAAGAAAGAAGTGAGATAACAAAACTTTACATTTAATTCACACCAAGAAAGACATCCTTATTCATATATAATGTGGGTCTATCTTCAAATACTAATACTCTAATTTTCTATTCTGTTGCTGTGTATTGTTGAGTCAGAGCCTACCCGTAGCTGTCCCTCCGGAAGGTTTTCAGAGGCAGTAGCACAGAAGAACACTGACCTTCTTTCCCTTAGAGAGGAGCTAATGGGTTTGAACTATATACCTTTTGAGCTGGTGGCACAATTCCTTACTTACTATGCCACCAAAGCTCAATTGTCTACATAGCAGGCATAAAAAGTTCAAGAGATCATTATTATATAACTTGGTTTTATGTATCAAATAGTAAAAGCTAAAATAATTTAGGGTAAGATTCAAAATTTCTAAGCTTTTGGTTTTACTAACTTCTTTAGCTGAGAAGTCTTATAATTTCACTTTCTCTTCACATAATAGCATAACAAGCTGAATAAACATGTTAAAATTTTTCATTTAACTTACATTTATTATCAATTAGTCCTTCTTCAAGTTTCAAGCAGAAATTGGATTTTTGAGCCAAAATTCCAAGGTTGACCACTTTAGACTTGAACAAAAATAGATATACACTATTAAAAAAAATCCCAAGTGTAATTGAAAAGGGCACAGTTTATAATAAAAACATTTACTTGCCTTTAATTTAATATCCACCTGTAAAATCAGGTCTTGGTAATAAACTAAAGAAGTATAGCTCATCACACACACACACACACACACACACACACACACACACACACACACTCCCCTCTCTCTCTCTCTCTCACACACACACACACACACACTCTTTTCTTTCTCTCCTTCCATTCTTTCCTCCTTCCCTCCCTCGCTACCTCTCTCTATCTTTCTAATATTTCTCCACTTTTACCTGTTGAGGATCATTATTTTGTTCAGGTGCAGCATATCTGGGTACAAGGCCAGGAACTGTTGGAATGAAAAATGGCGCTGATTTTGGTACTTTGGGTGGTTCTTTTGGTTTATTCTTTTTCTGAGTAAAAGAAAAGAAACAGGCTTTTAATTTTTTATTTTTTTTAAAGACTTCATGACATTACCCTGCTTCTGAGAAGGACCTGAAACGCTTGCTATAGAAGGTCAAGGACTGCACCTTGAAGCTCAACATCAAGAAAACAAAGATTCTCACCACCAGGCCAATTGGCAGCATCATGATGGATGGTGAAGAGATTGAGATTGTTAGGAGTTTTAGTTTGCTAGGTTCCACAGTCAATACTCTTGGTATCAGCAGCTAGCAAATCAAAGGATGAATTGCACTGGGAAAGTCAGCTGTCAAGAGACCCCTCCAGAGCATTCAAGAGCAATGACATCAGGCTGGAGACTAAGGTGCTCCTCCTTATCTGGGCCATAGTCTTTGCAATTGTGTGCTATGAGTCAGAGAGCTGGACAGTGACTAGAGATGATAGAAAGAGAATCGATGCCCTTCAGCTGTGGTGCTGGAGAAGAGTACTGAATATACCATGGAGTGCTAGGAGAACAAACAGGTCCATCCTGGAGAGGGTGAAACTGGGCTGCTCCTTGGAGGCAAGGATTCTGAAGCTTCATCTGACATACTTTGGACATGTTGCAAGGAGGGACCAGTCCTTGGAGAAAGACATCATGTTTGGGAAGGTGGAGGGACAGTGTAAGAGAAGAAGAACCTCAAGGAGATGGATTGATTCAATGACTGGGGTAGGTGGAGTGAGTGTGTCTTAGACAGTGAGGCTGGCACAGGATAGAGCAGGGTTTAGGTCTATTGTACATAGGGTCACTATGAGTTGTAAGCAACTCGACAGCACATAACAAGGAAAAACAAGAAGTAAACAATTATAATTCCAACAGCTTCTAATATTTCATTCTAAAGCAATTCTAAAACAAAGACCAAAAGCAATAAAGAGATCAAATCTTTCCATATCTGAAAGCTGAAATAAAATTTCACACTGATAGATATTCTTAACCCAGATTTCTTAGTATAGACCTCTAAAAGCACCTTCTTGATATGGTAAGAATACTTCTCCCCAAAATATGCACTGAAATCTTAGTCCCTATATCTGTAAATACAGAGGTTCCTGAGTGGCATAAATGCTAACTTAAAGTTGGTAGTTCAAACCCACCAGTAGTGCCACAGAAAGAAAGGCCTGGCAATCTGCTTCCTTAAAGATCACAAAAACATGGGGGGGAGGGAAATGTAAAGAATCTGGTCTGAAAAACAATGTATTCTACTTTTGTAAATAAACTAGTATAATAATAAAAAAAAAGATCACAACAACTAGAAAAACTCTATAGAGCAGTAAACAGGTTGTGAGACAAGTGATCTGTTAAAAAAACTGTCCTGGTCACCAAATACCCAGCATTAGAAACACCACACGTTAAAAACCAAACTCATTGCCTTAGTGGATCTGACTCACAGCAAACTTAGAGAGTTCTGGTGGCTTAGTGGAGAGGAATTGAACTGCCAACCCAAAGATATGTCGTTCGAATCCACCAACTGCTATGCAGGAGAGAGAGGGCAATTTCCTCCAGTGCAAGATATTGTCTCTGAAAACACACAGGATCAGTGATGGATTGATTTTGACTCAATGGTGCACAGCAACAACAAAAACAACAACAACAAAGTACCTTAGAGGATTGCCCTACTATTTGTTAAGTTGTAAATCTTTATGGAAGCTGACTGCTTCATCAAACTAGCAACTTTTTATTAAAGATAGTGATTTATTCCTGCTTCAGAAGCTAAAACACTCAATTTAAACTGGATATAATTTCTCACTGTTACCTGCAGGATGAATTTCTGCCATATCCTATGGTTGGCTAAGTGTTCTCAAAGTATGAAAGTTTATACAATATTGAAAAAATCAGACCCTGTTAACTAACATTCAATTAAACTTTTTTCTTTGCTGCTGTGATCACTAACTGCTATTTGTAAGTCTGTTCAAGAAAAGGAAGCTATCTCTCTATTTTAAATTTATTTCTCTTTCCTTGTATATTGTCGAATTGGATCCAAGAGTCACAGAAGATTGCCCCTCCTTCTCCAGCAGAGAATCTGGTGGATTTGAACCACACATCTTTGGGATTGCAGTGAAGTGTCTTTGCCATTAGGCCACCAGAGTTCCTAGGAAGCTCTTAAAATTCTCTTAAAAAATTGCTTTGAGAACATATCTGTACTATTGCTGTTAGGTGCCATCAAGTTATCTACAACTCATAGCAACCCTAAGAACAAGTCGATATCTTGTCCTATTCTATGCCATTCTAACACTCTCCAGCAGACTTAAGCCCACTGATCTAATAACTGTATTAATTTCACTGAGATTCCTCCTGTTTTTCATTGACCCTCTACTTGCCCCAGCAAGATTATTTTTCAAGCACCAGCCCCTCTTGACAACATGCTCCAATTATGTGAGACTAAGTTTTATTATCCTTGCTTGTAAGGAGAATTTTGATTGCACGTCCTCCAACACAAATTTGTTTGGTTTTTTTGGCAGTCCACAGTATATTCAATCCTCTTCTCCAACACAATTCAAAGAAATTGTTTTTTTGTTTTCATTCTTTCTTACTCATTGTCCAACTTTCTCATGTTTATAAAGCAATTTATGTGTCTTTAAGGCACAAATTTAAGTGTATCACGTTGCTGTTGTTGTTAGGTGCCAGTGAGTCAAGTACATCTCATAACAATCCTATGAATAAAAGTTCTGAACCCAGTTCTGTCCTGTACCATCCTCACACTAGCTGACACACAAGAACCCACTGCAGCAGTCACTGTGTCAATCCACCTGGCTGAGGGTCTTCTTCTCCTTTGCTGACCCTCCAGCCTTCACAACATCATGTCCCTCTCTAAGGAATAGCACCTCTTAGCAATATGTTCAAAGTATGTGAGGCAAAGCCTCATCATTCTTGCCTCCAAAGAGCACTCTCCCAGACATATCTATTTGTTCTCTTGGCTATCCATGGGATGTTCAGTGCTCTTCTCCAACACCACAGCTCAAACGTGTCAAGTCATTTTCTGTCACCCTTATTCATTATCCAGGTCTCGGACGCAAAGCTAGTAATCATAAAGAATCATATGCACCTTAGTCCTCAAACTGACATCACTGTTGTGTGCCACCAAGCTGCCTGAGACTCATAGTGACCCTATATACAAAAGCGCTAAACCCTGCTCTATCTTGTGCCAATCTTATTGTCTCTGACACACCTATCCCTATTACCCCAGTCACTGAATCAATCTATCTCATTGACTACTCCTCAATATTTGGAAAGGTTCCTAACTTACAATTTTTCCAGTGCAATGTGTCCCCAGATTCCCTGACTGCTTGTACCATGGATGTCAATTGTGGATCCAAGCAAGATGAAACTGTTAACAGTTTCAATCTCCCCTTCATTCATGATACTGCCTATTGGTCCAGTGGTAAGAATTTTTGTTTTCTTGATATTGAGACACAATCTCTACTGAAGGCTGCATTTCTTCATCTTCTGCACCAAGTGCTTCAAGACCTCCTCACTTTCACCAAGTAAGGTTGTGTCGTCTGCATAATGCAGGTTATTGATGAGTCTCCCTCCAATCTTGATGCTACACTCCTCTTCACAGAGTCCAGCTTCTTTGGATAATCTGCTCTGCATATAGACTGAACAGGTATAGAGACAGAATACAACCCAGACGTTCTCCCTTCCCAATTCCAAACCATGCAGTGCTCTTCTGTTCTGTTCACACAACAGCTTCCTGATCCAGGTATAAGTTTATGAAGTGTATCAGAAGGTTACCTTAATAACATCAAGATTAAGAAGGTTTTTCCATCGTGATTCTGGGAGAAGTGACAGAGTCACCAACTGCTCATTCAACTGTTCTGGGGAATCATATATTATCATTTCATCACTTGGTTCCATGGTTTCTTCTGGAAATTCCGTATCTTAAAAGAAAAATTTCAGATACGTACGTTTATACAAAATTTAAAGTTTCTATTCATATGAAAGTAACAATACAACGCAAATCCACTGGTACTTTATAACATGTTTACTTAATACAACCGTGTAAATTCTCCAATTAATTACTACTCCTATCTTATAAAGATTCAAAGCATCTCTCAATCTATCACTTGAAACATTTTTCATAAACTTATGAAGTAACTGAAAATATTTCATATTAAAATACTTCATTAAAATACTTTGACAAAGTATATTAAGCATTGCCTATGGCAGTAACCACTTTATTACATTTAAGATAGTAAAATCTCATAAATTAATTGACTATTTTGTGATTACCTTGCATTTGACAAGTACCAGGTAGCATCACAACTGGTGGAACATAATCAGCAGGAAGTGGTCGTAATGAAACAACAGAATAGAGGGAAATATTGGACCTAGGAAATCAAAACAACATAAACAAGTATTTTTAAATGGAATTCTTATTTCTGAGAGATACTTAAATTACTAGTAATAATTTTTACAATCTTGAAATTGAAATTGGCTGTATACTCCAGTTATTTGTTATGAAAATATCTGAAAGACTGGTTAATTGTAATAATTCAAAAGTGCCTTCCTTAATCTATTAGCGATACCATAAGAAGGTTGTATATAAATTTATTTATGGGGAAAATTTTAATATAGTATAAAATATGCTTATTTAAGAGATTGGAGTAATGTAGTTGTCACATACCAATTTTCATTTACAGAAAATTTAACTGATGGAAAGATGGGCTCAAACACTAAGTCAGAAACTGGTTCAGTGCATTATAACCTAAGGTTGTTGACCATTCATGGATTTACCCTTTGTGTGTATGTGTTCTCATTAAAAAGAATATTTTACTGTATTTTTTTTTGTATTTTATTTCATTATTTTGTGTGCGTGTACCGTCAAATCGGATCTGACTAGTACAGGAGGAGATTATCCCTCCTTTTCCAGCAGAGCATCTGGTGGATTTGAACTGCGTGCCTCTGGGATTGCAGTGCAGCTTCTTGCCACTAGGCCACCAGAGCTCCCTCTTTACTGTATTTTTAATGAATATTTACACATACAAAAAATATATTTTCCTGTGACAATATCTATATAAATCACTCAGTGACATTACATTTTCCACAATGTGTGTGTCAACCTTATAATCTTACTCTGGTTGAATTGTTTTCAGTACTCCATAGTTTCACTGCTCCTTAACTTCTTTTTAAATTATGTAGCCCTTTCCCACCCCCAAACCTTCCTTCACTGACATGTTTCATACAATCATTCCCATACATTGTGTTTCCCTTTAGAAACAGCATAGCATGGGTTTCTGTAAGGAGCTCTGTTGGCCTAGTGATAAGGAATTGCATTGCCAACCCAAAGACACGCAGTTTGAATCCACCATCTGCTCTTGGGAAAAAGATAGGCAATCTCTTCACATGTGATTTAGACTCTGAAAACCTGCTTGAAGGTCAGCTCTGAGTCAGTTCTGACTTGACAGCACACATTAAGTCTGGCTGTTAAGTCACCATATATCTGCTACTTGACCTTTGATTCTGGTCATAAATGACTAAGATACAGATAACCAGAGTGGAAAAATTCAGATTGTCTTTCCCAGACTTTGAGAATCTGGAATGGAAAATAAAAACTGGTAATCTCAAACTCTGGATATTATGCATAGAACATTCATATTCTTGCTGTTGCTTCCAAAGACACTATTTTTCACTTGTGTGCATTGTTCAATCTTCATAGTCTCCAGACATCTTGATTATTAATACGAGCAGAGTCTATTTTTATTGTATACATTAATTCACTTCTATATCATGAAAATATAATGATAAAATGTTATGGTTGGAATTAGAAAAAAAAATTTTCCTTTCTCCAACAACAGTTAAAATAGGCAGATATATAAATCCAGGAAACAGACCAAAAAATTACCAGAATCAGATCATGCTGCATTTATTTTGAAAAATCAGACATTCTAAAATGTCATCATAGTAGAATTTAAAGACTACCATAAATATCTTTACATGTTATTAAAACTTATGGAACTGGCTCTTAGGAAGCATTCTGACCACACTGGTACCTTATTTTATAAAGTAAGCCAGAGTTCAAAAGGGATTCTCCAAGGTCATAAAGCAACAACAGTAGGGTAGTAACAGAAAGGCAATGGTGTAGCTGGGCATTCCACAACTGGAGTTCTATCATCATTATCACTAAAAAATCCACTTGTCTTTTCTTGAAGTGAAAGCCAAATATATTAACAGATGAAAACCAGCCAATTAGTTTAGAATATGAATTTAAATGAAACACAGATCTAAGATGAATTCACTATCTCTGTTACTTAATAAATTCATTCATTATCCGGGCTATCACTCATTATTTAAGTAAAAGGGAAAAAAAACACCACCATAGTGCAATTTTAACAACTATGTTTCTCTGAAAATAGTATCTTCCTTCTCTATATTCCAAAATAAGCGGCCTGAATGACAGAACTTACCACAGATAAATTCCAAGGTGGTCCACGTGGGATGTAGCCAGGAAGTCTCCAGTAGGGGACATAGTAACATTGAGAGGGGCTGAGTCCAGCAGAAAGCAGTCTATGAGGCTGGTAAAAGGAATGATGATGTTAAAGTATCTCAATTCTATGGAAAATATAAGTAGACACAAAATATTTTTGCTAAACCAACAAAGGAATGCAGAAAACCTTTTGCTTTTTAAAACCACTGACCCCAGAAAGTCATCATTAATATACATAAAGCTTTGTTAACCCAGTTACTATGTGAATAGGGCCTGAGTCTTAATGAAGACTCAAAATACTAAGTAGATAAAACAAGAACACTAGAGGAAATGTACATTTTATGGGGTGTCAAATTTTTGGTTGACTGACTTGGGTCTATTATCTCCAAAGATATTAAAATCAGTACTTTCCTGTTATTGCAGTGAAATAAAAAATGGAGGAGGTAGAAGCAAGCAATAAAACTGTGTATAAATACGAATCAGAGAATGGTAAAGAGGGGCACCACTTTGAGCAAACTTACTTCTTATTTAAGCAGCTAATCATGCATTTCTAAAACATAGTTCAGTCCACATAAAATAGTAACACTGAGAAATTGATTCCAAAGATTTAAATGCTGTTGGGGTTAAAAGGTTTGGCTGGGTGAGGGTGCTCACACCCAGTGAGGAGCCTGAGACCCAACTCCAGAGAACACAGTGTTTGAGATAAACCCTCAAATAGATGGGATTTACAAGGCATGCTGATGATAGAGGGAAGCACTCCTGGCAGAAGGAAGGACAAGGCCAGGGAGACACATGTAAGTGAGGAGTGTGCTGGTAAGATGTGTACAAATGTCCAGTGGGAGGGGGCCTGCACGTGGGGAAAGAGAGAAGCCACAAGTCACCGAGTTTGGAGGGACAGGATGAAGGAATTAGGAAAACTCCAGTAGGATTTGAAAACTGACAGGATAATAGTGGGCATAGATTAATGGTGATTAATTTTTAAGATACAATGTTTGGGAATAATTTTATGAAACACAAGGTGAATAAAGGAATGTGTGAAATATAATGTATATGAAACAAAAAAAATCTTTTAATGCAAAAAAAGTAACAATAAAACAAAAATTTTTTCAAAGTGAGGAGTATAGTTTGAGCAGGGTAGTGCATTAAACCTAAAGAGAAAGTTGCAAACAGGGTCTTTAACACAAGCATTCTAGCATGTTTTTATCTATCAATCAATAGAAAAATCATCGCCAGCATTTGTGCAGACTGTGGGTTTTTTCTTTTACTTTTCTAAGAATATTCACCAGTAGAAAGTTTGAGCAAAAAATATAGTGCAATTATGGTACTAATTAACTAACAAGCAAATACAGATCTGCACTAGGATGATGGAAGCAGGTTAGGCCTAAATAGCAGAAAAGTTCAATACATATCCAGAGCCTGCCTGAAGACTCCTGAGACTGGCTAAGAGTGGGAATAACTTGTCATTGATCCAAAATCACAATTGCTTTTACCAACTGTTTATTCTAGTAAGCTATCTGTGGTGGAGATGAAAGCAAAATGACCAAAATTCAATATTTACATCAAATAAATAATTCCAAATAAAAACGATAGCAGCTACCATTTTTTCCCCCCAAGTGCTCTGTACTAGAAGTATCCTGGGCATTTTTTACTAATTTAATCCTCCAAATCCTGTGAGGTAATAAAACTGAGGCCCAACGTTATTTTAAAACTTGGTCAAGATGGAAGCAACCAAGTAAAATTTTCACCTAAGTTGCCTGCACTCATAACAATATCCAAAAACCCCAAACCTGCTGCCATCAGACTGTTCCTGACTCACACCAGCTCTCTAGGACAGAACAGAACTGCCCCAGGGAGTTTCAAAGTTGCCATCTTTATGGAAGCGGACTGCTACATCTTTCTTTTGTGGAAAAGCAGGGTGTTCCAAGTACTTAACCAAGTATTTAAACATTGCACCAGGAGGGTTCCCCATTAACCCTGTAAACTAGTAAAGCCACTACCGAAACCAAATGTTCCACTAACTGTTTGGTAGCATTTACATATGCAGGGAAGGTTCACACTGAAAATACAAGGACTACACTTGTCATGCATCAGACAGGTGGACAATGACCAAGGAGGATAGAAGGAGAATTGATGCCTTTGAGCTGTGGTGCTGGAGAAGAGTATGGAGGGTACCTTAGATTGCTAGGAAAACAAACAGGGGAAGGCCCTCTATGAGGTAGATTGATTCAGTGACTGGGATAATCGGGATGGGTGTGTCGGAGACAGTGCAGAGTTTAGGGCTGTTTTACATAGGGTTGCCATGAGTGCACATAACAACAACAGCAACATCACTATGGATAGCTCAAATGCAAATGAAGACACTTCAGTAGCAGTGTCATTAAGTGGTATGCTCTTTAGGAAAATACCTACTTCAGTTTGCTAAGTGAGCTACGAACAATGTAAACATTAAATAATGTAAGAGAAGAAAGGTCTAGAATTAGGAGCACTGGAATCAAAACACATCTAATACATCTTATAGACCTTGTGTCAGTTTATAGAAATTTTTGCTCATTTTAATGGCCATATACTAACTACTTCATAATATGAATGTTCCATAACTGATTTAGCCTGTTCTCTAATGATGGACTTTTAAGTTGTTTCCAATTTTTTTAGCTACTAAAAATAGTGCTATAATAAATATCCTTATAAAAAAAAAACACATCAAAGTGTGATTAGGACAGAGACTGCTTACTTTAGGTTTTCACAAATAATATATACATTGAGCACTTTTCCCCTACATTGTACAGCTTCTCAAGTATTATATGCAAAAATAAGGTAATGTTCGGTTATTGAGGGTGTAGAGAGAAGGGTGTAAACAGTCTCCTTTCAGCTCAAAACACAAAACATGGCTTCCCTTAGGGGAAAGAAAATACTCATTTCAATACCTACTGGACAGCATTAAATTTTTTAAAGTTACTTATTTAATCTCAACAACCCAGAGCAGAAGATATCTTTACCTCCATCTGCTGATGAAAATTAAACTTAAGGCAGATCTTAACCATTTCTTCTTTGTTATGACCAGTATTTGTCCATCAAAAGTTGAAATATTTAAGGGGCAGAACTCATAAAAATGTTCAAAATCTATTCATTAAGATGAAAATTTATAGCTTGAGCTTACTTGAGCAAACTTATTTTACTTGATCCTATAATTTTTTAGTCAACTACATTATGTAACTTTATTTCCACAGCTGTTGTGTGTGGGTAAGCTGGTCTTCTATTATGCAAAGACATCAAATTGAGGAAGATGTATTCCATTGACACAGCAGATTTTTACACTGTCACATTAGTTCATAAAGTACACTGTGCGAGCTTATTCCTAGACCTGAAACAGTCTACTGCTAATCCAACAAAATGAAAAGTCCTGCCAAAATGAAAACTGTTCTTTCTGGAAGAAGACTAACAAAATCTCAACCATATGATTGGATCTTCAGGCATGTCTTTGTACTATTTTGAACATATCCAAGTAGTGTCAGGATGCTCTTATCTTCAAACCGATGCAATAGCTTCTACAGGAATCTTTTAGAGTAAGACAAAGGGAAGTTTTTGCGTAAGTGGGGGAAAAAATAAGCAAAACCAATATTCTATTCTATTTATTCTGACATAATCCTTCTCAGTAAATAGGACTCTGGGAAAAGTTAGAACAAAATGTTAAATTCTAATAAGACTATTTAATGCTTTTCCTACTCCAGAAGAGTTCAACTTGAACCCCAAAGAAAGAAAAATCTACAGCAAAACAAAAACATGGTATAGAACAATGACAGATAAATTCAAGGGTAATAAAAAGTTCTATTCTGCTCATGCATCTCCTACAAACAGGTAAAAAAAAATTCAGTACTTTTTAAAAAAAATCAACAAGTAACAGTCTAGCACACATGTGATTTGTTTTAGATAGGCACAACTCCAAATATGCCACACACCCAGTCGTTTTACTCATAGTTTCACTTTTCAGGCTAGGGAACGTGTATGTTCATTTCTAAAATATTTAACATATTATATAAATGATGCAACTGTTTCAAAAAGAAGGCACTAGGAATTTCCAAAGGCTACATATTGATTATGCAAAAGAGGGGAAAAGAAAAAAGCCCAAGAGTTACTTATGTTTGCACAATATACTACTATATGTTGAAATAATACACAACTTTTAAATAGAGGAAAAATCCCAAAACTTTGAAGTTATTTTAGTCTCAAGTACCTGTGTAATTTCTCTAATAATTTTTTAGTGAAATACAATTTTATTCTGGTTATAAAAGAAAAAGAATGGGAATGACAGGAACAAACATGATTTCACCATGTTTATATTGTGAAGTGACTGTAGCACTCTTATATGTGAAACTCAAGAAGGAAACAACTGTCTTCCAAAACAGCTAAATATGCAGGTCCAAAAAAATTAGTTTTTTCAACTGTAACACTCACTCACAAGCCCATTCATCTCCTTCAGCGCCCCAAAAATTAGCACATGTTTTTGCTGAGCTGGGTAATATAGTGGTAAACACGTGGCACCACTGCCATCACAGGATAGTGGCCTACAAAACTAGACCTCTGACACTCGGCCCTAGTTTCATTCTCTCACAGGTTGTCATCCATGCCTAGGAAAGCAGTTGTCTGTGCAACCTCTATATCATGTTCATATTGTTCTGTCAAAGTTGGTCCATGACAACTTGTGGTTGGGCAAGAGCAGGTATGGCAATAAATTCCAAATTAGATCTCCAGTTAGTTTTCTAAAAGCCAAAGGAAAGGCTTTTCAAGGTGGTAGTTACTTTTGGTAGAAATACCATGGTACTGAAGAGTCTTCTTTTGGCAGAAAAAAATGGGGATGTTCCTGTAGGTAACACTTGATGTTACATCATACATTATAATGGCACACTAGGCTTAGAGATAATTACCATCCCTCACTGCCCCAAATTTCTCCTGGCCACCTATATCCCACATGTTGAATTTAATCAGTCCTCTGTTGGTGTGTAACATGAGGGGATGGACCTCCACACTCAAGGTTAGTGGCTACATACTTCTTGAATTCACTAGTCAGATGATGTTTCACCCCATCACCACTGACTAACATGAATTGGAACTGGTCTTGGGCTTTCTTCAAGAGATCTTGGGCACCTCTTCAAGAGTAACTCTAGGCCCACCTGACTGAGAGCCAAATACTTTCCATTTTAAATTCATGCTTCAAATATTCTAAGGATAGAGTTGCTTATATGTTCATAGGGACATCCATAAAAGCCTGTGAAGTTTCTATACCCTACAAGTTCTCACCACTAGCATAGATTCTCACTATCTACATTAAGAAAATAAATCCATTTTTAGGACATAAAAGACAATTTGAACAAGCGTTGGAAAGCTTACTTCTTTCTCTGATACTTAATTTTTGTTTTGCCATTCATAGGCAAATCACTTCACTTCTAAGCCTCTAAGCTCTGGTGGCCTACTGGTTAAGTAGCTACACTGCCAATCTGAAGGCACTTGGTTTGAATCTACCAGTTGTTCTGCATAAGAAAGTCAGGCAATCTCCTCCTGTATGATTTATTGTCTCTGAGGGTCAGCGATGAGTTAATTCTAACTCAGCAGTACAAAACAGCCGTCTAACAACAAAATGGAACTGAAAGTAGTAATAATATCTACACAGCTATTATAAATGAAGATGAAAAATACAAGCAAATAAAGTGCCTCGTAGGCGTTAACATTTACTAAGGTTAGTTTTGGTATAACTCAGCAACAACAGTTCTTTGGTATTACTTGGCAAGTTTTCTTACTCATTCCTTTAGTCCTAACGAAACACAAAAGGGTTTTCTTTAATAAAATATACTTTTGCTCCAATGGTTAATTAAGTTTTCTTTTAACAATCCCTTTCTGGCTTATTTCTTGTTTTTGGAATTCAAAACCACTCAGTTTGCTTCACTGTTAACCTAAAAGTAATACACTAGAGGTGAAAACCAAGAGATTTAAATTTTAACTTTTTACTGAAATAAGAAACTCAGCAAAATGACAAATGCTGAATCAAAATCTGGTGGCCTCAAATGCTACTTTCAGATCCTAATTTTTTTGTTCCAAAGATAATTTACTATTTAAGAGGAAAAAATGTAGTGGGCATACTTCACACTGTGGAACACTCACAGATCCCTCCTGAGGAAAGGGAAAACCACTAGGAATGGAAATTAAAAGGATATTATTGCAATTTTATTTGTATAACTTTCCTACTATAAAGCAGTTCAAAGAATGCTCATTTATAAGGGGGAGTGGGGAAACCAAAGTCTAAAAAGCAAGAGACCATCATAGCCTTAAAAATAAGGAAGTACCAACTTAAGGGTGAATGTTCTGATGCTAGAGGAGAACAAGGGCAACCAATTACTTTTTTGCTTTTACCCTATATAAAGAGGTATGTTTCTGGAAAAAGGTTCCTAGTTACTAGAGCTATCTAATAGTTGTGTAGGTATTACTGGTTTTAGTTCTATTTTACAATTAGAAAATATAAGCTTAGAAAGGTAAAATGATGTGCCCATGAAAAGCAGAACAAAAAAGAAGCATCAGAGCTTCCTAACCCTGTGGCATCACCCTTGTTAAAATGTTACTTACTAGCAATATTCTTTTGCTTTGCATATACTAGATTTTTGTAGATAGGTGTGCCCATTCCTTTATTAAACTTGAAGGGCATGAAGACATTAGGGTTTTTCCATTCTAAAGGTCAAACTGCTTTCAGGTATGAGCTTATCCCATTCCTGAGAAAGAGGAAATGACTTGGGCAGAGTTTAATTTAGGAATGTTTTTTAGAGGGTGAAAGAAGTGTCATCATCTTTGTAATTTTTCTCATGTATTCTTCATGGTGTGTTAAATTAGATGCTTTGATTAATGCCAAACTTCCTCCTTTGAGACTCAATCTATGCAATTCTGTATTATATATCTTAGAAATGTATTCATTCCTACATAAATCTTTAACAACAAAACATATATACATATAATTTGCAAAATTACAAAATGTATTCAAGGTCTTAATTACTAATATAACCTATAAAACAAATTTCTGAAAACTGCTAGATTTTAGCTAAGAAATACATTTTTCACAATATTAAGACATTCTCTTTCAAGAACTCTGAATTGAAGTAAAAATGTACAAACTAGAAAATAAGAGTGTTTGACTTTCTAACTAGATTCAGTATAAACTTTTAAAAACATTTTGTTTATAGTTTTGAAGACTAACCTCTACTACAGAATATCAAAAAGGCCAAATGAGTTTTCTTAAGGTTTAGGCAACTCATTCTAATCTTTCAGTTTTACAAGAACAAAAAGCACAAGAGATTGTATTTTTCCATAGTGTTATGGTGCTTTTTTCCTAGTATTACATGTTTTATGTCACTAGAAACATTCCAAGGATAAAACAGTCCTGCTAGAAAACTTCCAAATACATTCACATTTTAAAAGCACATAATCTTTAAACTTTAATGGTAAAAAATTGGTGAGCTCTAGTGGCCTAGTGGCAGGAAGTTATACTACAACTCCAAAGGTGAGCGGTTCAAATCCACCAGATGCTCTGCTGGAGAAGGAGGGACAATCTCATCCGTGTACCAATCAGATTCGATTTGACTGTACACACACACACACACACACACACCCTCCAACACAAAATTTAAAAATTTAAAAAAAAAAAAATTGTAAAAAATGTCTGCAACAATTAACAATTAACAACTAACAATTGTTTTTGTAAGGCCTGTTTAGTCAACAGACTCAGTGACTCTGTGAACAATGGAAGTGTCCTATCCTGTCCTACCCTGCGCCTTCCTCACCTTTTGATATAGTCAAACACACTGCTATAAACACTGTGTATCAGATCAATATTGTGGAGGGTCTTCTTTTTCTATGTAAGATCAAACCAAACATCAAACATTAGAAAGAAACCTTACAGGGGCAGTAAGTTTATGTTAGTGGGGGACAAACTCAGAAAAGGAGATTGAAAATGGTTGTACTACTCAAAAAATGTAAATAATGTCATTGAACTGTGTATGTTGAAATCCATGACTTGTTTTCTGTATGTTCTGTTGCATAATTCTCAACAAAATGAATAATTTTTTACTTACAGACACACAATTCATTGGTTACAAATAAAAAGACACTGAGAAATCTGCAAGGTTAAGAATTTAAAAAACAGACTCACCATCCAGATGGAAGATCCCAAGTTTTAACCGAACAATCCATTGAAGCACTTATTAACCAACGACCATCAGGACTGAAAGTCTGTAAATTATTAAAAAAACAAAAATTTCACATTCAATGGAAACAATTTGTGATTATTTTTTCTAATGAATATTTAATCAGAAGCATTTTGTTAGATTAATTTTAACTATAATTTTGCAAACAACAAAAGTTACATCCTTTTGAAAAGAGTCTATATATGATACTGGTTTTTTAGAATTAGCATGTTTTGAAGACAGAGAATATAAACGTTCTTACAATATTAAGGTTGTTAAATAAGATATTCTCTTATTTGTAGTATCAACTAAAATTTTCTTTCTTAATGACATTTTACTTCTCAGATATAATTTTTTAAAAATCACAATGAGAAAATTTTTAAAATTTAAATAATTAGTCAAATCATTTAAAGAAGTTACATCCTTTGCATCTTTATAAAAATGGACCAAAACAATAGCTTGTTTTGCCTACAGCACATAAGTTAAGAGGTTTAAACAAAATAAATTTAAAAGAAGCACCAAATTTTTAAAATTTATAATGGTAAGAGACTATTCAAGTCTTTATACATCATTGGGATTATGATTATCCACAGTAGCAATCACAATATTGTAATTAGGCTGTTGTGATGATTGTGAAAATGTTAATCTCAAGATATCAAAGGCTCATTTTATAGAAGGATAACATAGTAAGAGATGGGGGGAAATGACTGATAAGATCATGTTAAAAATGTAGATTAAAATTACCAGGAATAATGTATCATTGATTAGGACAGAATGTAGACACACAAAGAATAAACTGACACTGACAGAGATTTTAGTAAATACTACTCACAATTATCTCACTCCCACCCACATTACTATAGATGCTTTCACAACAAATTTTGTTGATGGGAATCTCCAACCTGCAGAATAACACATTTTCTTCCCTTCCATTTTTAAGGAAAATGGTACACAAATTTTTTTCTGTTTGGTTTGAGGATTGATAGCAAAATGTAACTAACTATTCAGTTTGTCATTTAGTAGTTAGGACCTTATTTTTTTCTTTCTTTCAAATAAATCAAGATTATCAGCTAAATGACAACAGGTATTTGATACAGTTCTCAACTGGTAAAATTTATTTTTAATTTTGTTTTCATTTCAAGTGAACATATTCTTTTAAAAAAAATTTAGAACATATATCCTAGTATTCTTATATATCCTAGAAACATCTCAAGATAAGCTAAAATGTATCTTTATTATTTGAATTTTTTTAGTTAAGATAAACTCAAGAAATAACATCAAACTAGAATAAATCAAGTACAAATATTTTAGGTGAACAACTTCCTTATTAATACCTTTTTTTAGATACACAGAAAAAGAGAAATATGTTCCCCCAGTATATTTTAACATGAAATAAAAAAAATCATATACTTATGTATCAATGGATTATTTACCCTCTAAAGCATATTTTGACCTTCACTAGAGTTGAAAGGAATTCATATTATTAATATATCAACTCATCAAGAAAAACAAACACAGAACTCTAAATTTTAATTTAAAAAATCCTTTCTTTCACAATTGTTGTTGATTGCCTTCAAGTCAAGCACGACTCATAGCGACCTTATGACCAAAAGGTCTAAAGCTCCTCTACAACTATCAACACTTATCAAAGTTCAGTTTCCAGAGGCATGTTGTTTAGGAAGTGGATGCCACTCCTACTTCCAAATCTTTTACAGTTAGCCTCCGAATAATCTAATTTAGACATTATAGGTGATAAATCTAAAACAATTAAAGAATACAAGGCATAATTATTAGAATATCTTAAACCAAAATAAAATGATAAATTAATTGTTTTGTTGAAGCTTGTTTTACCATGTCATTTATTTGGCCTTGGTGTCCAGAAAATTCTCTGACAACTTTCCTAGTTTCTATGTCCAGAACACTGATGGAGAAGTCATCCAAAGCAAGTCCCAAAAGGCCACTATCATAAGAGAAAAGCATAAGTTAAATCAACAACAACAACAAAATACTGAACTCAATCTTAAAAAGTTTAATTTTATTAACTGTACTTTTGGGGAAATTACACAAATATTATTCTTTACTAAAAGTTTAGGGTTTTTTCCCACTTGGCAACTTATGTTGTTTACTTAAATGATGAACTTTTATCTCTTAACATGTAGGAAAAAATACATCATTATTATAAGAAAGTTTTTACCTGTCCCTATGTAGCAGCATCATATTTGGAGATGAAATGAGACTCATCGAATGGATTAAATTTTTGCTTTTAAAGTTCCAGAATTTGAGTAGTCCTTCACTACCAGCTGTTATTGTTAACTGGTTTAATCCATCCACGGCAACACCTCTAATAGAGCCTTTATGAGCTTTACAGTGCATGTTAAAAGAAGAAGAAAAAAATCAGCAGATATGTGACATGAAGTGCAATAATTTCTTAATCCACACATCTCAATTTTTATTACTTATTTAATATTCTAAATTCTTGTAATTACTCTGGATTTTTGAGGTAAAGGGATGACTTTTAACTACCATAAGCTCAGGTCAGTAGTAGAAAATTCATCATGTAGGTGCCATGAACAAGACTGCAAAAAAGCTAAGATCTTCAGCTAACAGTAAGGATACCAAAAAATGTAATTTGCACAATAATCACTTTCCTCTGACATATGTGTGATTGTCTTATCGATGAGTACAAGTAGTCCCCAAATTATGAAGAGATGCTATTCTGAGGACTCTGTAGGCAAGTTCTATATAAGCAGAATAACTCTCTGTCATCATTATTGTTTCTTGTTATCATATAAAACTTATCTATAGACATCTGCAAGTGAGCATCTGGAAATGTTATAAGCAAATGACTTATGACAACACTAAATATAGTATATCATAAGTGTGGTTTGTGGTAACTCGAATACATCACAATTCAGGGACTACCTATATGTAAATATGGTACTTATAATACCTCGTTCCTTGCCAAAACTTCCTCGATGAATACCAGATTGCATATTATATACATCTATAGTTCCTGATGACAGACCGATGACTGCAAAATTGCCACAAGAAGTTATATCAACTGCCTGTAAGAAAATAAGGGGTGGGTGGGTGTGAACAGAGAGCCATTTAAAAAAAAAAAATTAAAATCTGCATTATGACAGAAAAAAATAGTGAACATTTTTACTGTACTTTATGGTATCTTCTAAGTACTAGTTAATGCATGAGTGGATTCATTAATTTTCTTAAACATGTAATGTAAACTTACTTGGCTATGAAAGGAAAATCTGTTTGATTCTATCTCCCTAAGAAGTATACAGAAATTATTATCTAAAAAATGGACCCAAGATAACGCAACTGTGATTTATATATTTGCTGGCCTTAAATTTTTAATATATTCACAAAAGTTATAAGCATTTCTCTGTCCAATTTCTCTTTATCCTATTTTTATAAATGCTTCTGCTAGTGATAAAAAGTGGAAAACATTATTAAATAAAACAGCTAATGAAAAAGCTCAAAAGGTCACAATATTTTAGTAGACTTAGTTAGCATGGAAATATGTAACACAATGACTAAAAAATATTTAGGTTAGCCTCAATCTATAAAAAAAAGACTGACATATAGGGACAAGAATAAAAATAAATTACAAAAGAATTTATCAGTAAACAAAAGGAATTTAAAAATCCCATTGAATTTGAATCCACCAGATGCTTTGCTGGACAAGGGACAATTTCCTCCTATACCAGTCAGATCTGATCTGACGGTATATGCACAAAAAAGAATTTAAAAGAAAAAAAGAGAAAGCTTATAAAAATTCCATTGAAAACGGGCTCAGACAGAACTCAATCAAGAGTTTTCCTAATGTAAAAAATTACTTGTAACAAGAAGGAAAATAAAGAGCTAAAGGCTTTAAAGAACTTCTGCACCCACGCATTGGTGGCATAGTGTTTCATATCAAGCTGCTAATTAAAGGCCAGTGGTTTCAATCTACCAGCTGCTCCCCAGGAAATCTCCCACAGAGGTGTACAGCCTTGGAAACTCAGCAACCATGAGTCAGCACTGACACCATGGCAGTCAAGAAAAGAATAGGGGACTATGGAAGGGAGAACAAAACTTTTATGATTTATTAAAATCATACTCTATATAATTCAGGTTAAAAAGTACCTTGATGAATATTGAATCATATTCAAAAGGTTTTCTGAATATTAGTATGATAATTAGAAAACTAAGATATTAACTATAGTTACGCAAGCTTACCTTCAACCTAAAATAATTCTCTTTGGAAGGTAAAAATCTGAATACAATTTCAAAATAGTGAACTATGTTCTCTCTAGTATTAGTAACTTGAAAAATACAAGAATTAACAAGAACAAGACAGTGAACAAGAAGTAAAAAAGAGTAAGACAGTGCTCAAGGTGCTTACAAACAAGATCACTTACAGTTGCAGTTACAGCATCTGTCTTCAACTCTTTTGGCTTCAGAAAGTAAGCACCAATTGTAGATCTCTGATAGTTCCAGGTTGAGCAAGACAGCTTCCCTTGATGGCAAGCAATGATACCATCCCAATCATTTTCTCGAGCTTCCTCTAAAATGTAATTAGAATCTCAAATCAACTGGCTTTTCATTGCTTATTCATTCATTAACCAAATATTTAACAAACATTTTATACTTATTTTAATAAGGCACTAGAGAGATGATGATGTCATCCCTGACATCAATAAGCTTCTAATCGAAGATACTAATCAGAAAATACTACAAAAAATATGAAAGTGCTTCAAAAGACCATTTTGGAAGAGTTTAAAGACTTTAAGCATGTATTAAATAACTCTTTGGAAGAAGAAGTACAAAGAATAGAAATTAATCTAAATGCTCAAGATTACCTGAACAAAATGAGAGCACAGAATTCAGTGAAAGTATTTTCTTCTTTAGGAATGGAAAGAGGGTAAGATAACTGGGACTACATTACAAAGGGCCTTGAAAATTGTGTCAAGAAGTGGATACTTTACCCCCAAAGCAGCAAGAAGCCATTGAAAGATTTTAAGCAAATGAATGGCATGTTCAGGTGAGCATTTAAAAAGATTTTTTTCAGGTTCTAAGACAGTATAGAGACTGAAGGGCAATGAAAGTAAAAGAAATATCAAGGATAAGGTTGTTACAGTAACCCTGAAATAGAAATAGTGCCTGAAATATGTACTTCCTATGATAATTTTCAGTTAGCAATCCAATTACCTTTGCACATTTTCCATAAAATTGCTTCCTTTCTGGATAATGGTTAATTATTCAGACCACTGTGCTATCATGCTTTGCCTTCTCCCACTTCCAACCTTTTTTATATCATTGACTTTAATATATTTATCATGACAGAATAAAACAAAAGCTATAAAATCAAAGATTGTTTACAATTGGCTTTTTTAAGAGCAAAGCCTGAAACTACTGCATAACAAATTTACATTATAACAAATTTATTCTCAGTATTCATAGAAGATTAGCATATGTTTAGGGTTCACTTAGGGATTAGAGGATATGAAGCAATATATGTTAGGAAATAAAGGACAAAGCAGAACTTCTCCAAATGGAGGGAATTTATTTACCCGCTGCAAACTTGGTTATGGGAGGAAGTCTCACTGACATAGTATTTTGAAGTCCTTTCCGTTTGACTCTCTTCTTGTTTATTAATCCTAGGAGTTGAAGAAGAGGAGAAATCCTTAATAAAAAAAATACATATAAAAGAAAAGCTACTCATTGTTGCATAAACCACAAAGGTCAAGATATATCTTAGTAAGGAGTAAAATAAAGATTTTATTACCACTATTATAATTTATAAAATGTGGCCTATACAATTAGAAGAGATGAAGAATGAATAATTTAGAGTTCTAATGGCCAAGTAGTAAGGAATTATGATGCCAACCAAAAGGCAGGTGGTTCGAATCCCCTAGCTGCTTGCTCCAAAGAAGAAAGATGGATAATCTCCTTCTGTGCAACTTACAATCTCTGAAAACTCAAGGGAAGGTGAGCTATGAGTCAGTTCTAACCACCAGCATATAACAACCTAAGTAATTTAGAAAAGGAGGAAATAATGTCATCTTTACAAATGATATATGGCTGATATATAGTCATGTCACAGAAAAGAATCAACTAAATCATTATTATTGGTGGTAATAGCATCATTGGAGCCAAACTTAAAAAAAAAATTATTATAGAAAGAAGCTGCACTGCAATCCTGAAGGCACATGTTTGAATCTACCAGCTGTTCTGCAGAAGGATGGGCAATTAACTGCCAATAAAAATGCACCAGAGGGTCAGCTAGGGTCAGTTCCTACTTAAGGGTACACAACAATAACACTGTAGCAATAACAGGTCCAAACCCAAATGAAACAAGTAAGATATTAATAACAGCAAGTCTGTATCTATAGAGAGCTCTGAAGGCCTAATGAGTAAGTAGTTAACGCTGCCAACTCAAAAGGCAGGCATTGAAACACAGCAGTAGTTCCTCAAAAGAAAGAATGGACAATCTTTTATGTAATTTATGGTGTTTGAAATCCCACTGAAGGGTCAGCTACGCGTTGGTTCCAATTCAAAGGCACATAATAACAGTAACAACTTTACCTTTTATGCCACTGAATAATCTTAATTAGGATTAAGTAAGACTAACATGAAGAAAACGAAAAAATTTCAGAGGTACCTAAGACCACAAATGATGGTGTATCACATATCCAAATAAGATTCTTAAAGATACTAAGATCTTACTCATGGGAAATTATTTTGGATTTTAATTAAAGGGAAAAAAGAAAATCTTAAAATTCATCTGGAAGACTAAGAGCATGAACAGGCAATAAGAATAATTATAGGCCTCTCTCCAGACTTCATTTCAAGGAGGGAGGACCATCCCTTTGGGGATGTAACTTTCTAATACATTTCTTTATTGTTTCATCCTCAGAAAAAAAAATTCAATAAAACTTGAAAACATTTTTGTTTGGTAAATAAAATCTTTGTAAAGTTGAAAATCATGTGAAAGCAAAGCAAGTATAGTGAGCTCTTATAGCAAAATAAAAACTGGACAGTAGGACCCCGCCACTGGGGGCAGTACCCAGTTTGAATATAACTATACTCAGTTTTTCCTCAGAACAGTATAATAAAGGAATGATGTGCAATTAAAAACAAATTAGACAGTGGTTACTGTGATATTCTAACTTCCATCTTCAAAATTCTACATACCATAGGTTGTCAACATCAGTGCCTTTGGACAGTAACAGGAAGCTTTCCCCATTCAAAGCTGTCTAACTATATTCAATAACTTTATAACAGTATACATCAACTAGTACAATAACAATTCTTATCTTAGGAATCCCACTATTAACTTTTCTACACCTGGTTTTTATTTTAACCACATTATAACCAGAAATTTAGTGGCAAAAGCATCCTTAGTTTTTTCAAAGAATTTTGAAAATTGTTTTAGTGATAGTTTTGTTTTTCTTTCTTATAACTGACTTACCATGTCCCAAGCTTTTATTAAATTTTTCATGTACTGTGGAAAATGACTGAAGAGTTCCATCTTGACCTGTTGATATAGAAATTCCATATCAAGCCTCATCAACACAGTGATTATCTGAATAATTAAAACTTACAACAGATTACGTAAAATGCTTTAAGTTACAGCCTGAAACACTAGGAACAGCCAGAATCTACTTTATGAGAATATCAGAGTATAAAATGGAACAGGAACTCTGGTGACCTAGTGATAAGAAGCTGTGCTGCAACCTCAAAGGTTCAAATCTACCAGCAATTTCCTCTTGTGAGATTTACCACCTCTGATGGCCAATCTCTTCCTCTGTAACTTATAGCCTCTGAAAACCCAATGAAGGGTCAGCAGTGACTTGGTTCCAATTCAACGGTACATAACAACATAGAATGGATTATTTAAAAAGAGAGAATAAAATGATGAACTAAAATGCTCAACAGAAAAGTGGAAGAGATGCAATTATCCCATTTTCAGCATCTGCTCATTCTGATTGAGAGCCAGTCAAGAGTGAAACACCAAGTGGAAGGTAAAGCATCTAGTGTTTTCAGATACTGTCAAAAAGAACTGCCTCAGTTTTACTCCAGTTTTGGAGTCATTCAAAGAGATATCAGAAGGTATGGTGTAAGTACCAAACTAATGAAATCTGGAACATCCAGTTCACAACAAATACTGATTGGAGTAAATTGGACAAAAGAGAAACTCACTTGCACTGAGAATTTGTTGTCCGTTTTGTCCATAGTATCTGATTTTGGTAAGAGGAGCACTGTGTCCCATTCTGAATCTTAACAGTCGGCCTTCACCTACAGGACCATCAAATATCCATATCTGCCAAGAAATAAAAAGGTAAGATTCTCTGTAGTGTCGAATGCGTAAACAAAGAGAACTAAAGGTTGGAGCATTGGTGGTGGTGATAAAGTTGTCACCCTTTTCTCCTCTCTTTGTCATCTACTATGCTTTTTGTTTCATTTAAACCAATATCCTTTCTGATACTCATTTTTATCCTCTAGGTTCAAAGCTGATACATTCCAGTAGGCTTGTAATAACCTAAAGGGTAGGTCAAAAGTAGTAACAACAATAATCATAATACCCTGAGAGCATTGTCAGCGCCATTTGTGACAAGAAGTGGCTCTCTATGGAGAAACGTCAGCCCGGCAATTGCTGTAGAATGTGCATTTCTCATTTGATTGATCAGTTTTTTGTCTTCCAGATCCCAGAGTCCAATATGGCCACATGGGCTGCCAGCTGCCATTACTGGATGTCCATCTGTTATTATAATAAAATACATTAAGAAAAATACTGAAACAGCTGTTACCACAAAGTTGACACAGACTCATGTTGACCCTAAAAACATTCTCAAACAATGTTTAAAAATTCTTCTATTATTTTAATCCATAAAGTGAAAATAAGAAAAGACTAAAAGATCACATCCATCATAGACACTTGTACTTTAGCTGTATTATTTTAGCTTCTGCTACCTTAGTATTTGTTAGATTAAGTTAGAAGAAAGCAAGCATCTCTTAATAAAATGTCTATGTCTTTTAAGTAATGAATTCTAAATGTTCTTTATTTTTCATTAATAAATACGTTACCTGTACGAAATGAAATTGAAGTAATAGGTCCCCAGTCTTGACGGAACTTCATTAATGTTTCATTAAACTTAATATTGTGAATGATAACCTGACCCGACATAAGACCCACTGCAACAACATCTACAGCTGGTGCCTGAAAATTAAATTATTAAACTTATTATTCTTTTAAATTAAAAACAGCTTTAATAATCCTGATGAGGTATGCAATTTATGTATGTTAGCAAATGAAACAATAAAATGCTTTCCTAAATGTGGCAAAGAACAATAAATATTAGAATTCTGGCAAACTTTGTTATTTAGCACACAGTAAGGAACATCTTTCACAAGGCATCTCCCAGTTGCTGATATGCCACCCACTACCCTCTCTAATTCTTAAAACATAGCTGACACAATAGAGAAAGAAGGTGATAATTCACTGCAGATCTTTGGGTGGACACAAAAAAGGGGAACAATTCCTAGAAAACAAACAAAAAGGCCAACTGCAAATAGGTAACTTCATCTAAGAGAAAACCAAAACTAAAAAAATTCTAACATGCAAAGAGCTTACAAATTAATTAGTCTCTTTTATCTCTAATAATTTTTTATTCTTCATTTTTATAGTGGTACTATGCCTCTGAAAACTCTTTGAACTTTGATAAATGTTGATAGTTATACAAAGGCTTCAAGCCTTTTTTTTCCACAGAGTTGCTATGAGTTGTGCTCGACTTGATGGAAATCAACAACAATAGATATGTCTCTTAATGAGTTTCTCTATGTTTAAGGCTATACTTACTCATATGTCTTTAAAGACAATCCTGTATAGAAAACTAGAATATTGAAACAAGTATGCTCTTTGCACTCAAAGGATATAATCATCTGACATCTTTGAGGTCTTCTAGGTAAATGAAATAAGAAAGCCTGATCTGCATTGTCTAAGAACATGTGTCAATCTAGCTCAGCTATGGTTCTCGGTGTCTTTAATATAATGATGTTATATAGCAGTTTTGTAATGATGTAATCAGCCCATGATGCAGTTGGAAATGATCAGTCTTGCTTGATCTAAGGAGATTTGGGTGAGATGCAATACCTTTGCACAGGTCCCTCCCCTGACAGGACAGAAAAGGAGCTTCCTTGTGTCGTGGCCTGCAATACCTTCTATTGTACAAGAAATAAAAGGAGATAGAAGTGAGCAGAGAAAGTCCTCAGTACTACTAAGAAAGAGGAATAGAGAGCTAGCAGAGTCTTCTGGACCTAGATTCGTGTGCTAAGAACTTCCTAGAAGCAGAAGACAAAAAGTCTTCTCTGAGACTATGTCACCATTAATTTAGGTTTCTCAATTCCTAAACTGTGAAATGTCTGCTTATTAGAATCATCTCTTTGTAGTATTTTTGTAATACTGCTACATAACCAAGGCAGATCAAGGATAGTTGATGATAGTTGAGAAAAGACATTGTAGGCATTTAAACTGGCAGTTAGAAGCAAGATAATCAGAAATCCAATTTCCTGAAGGCCTATGATTATTTTAATAGCTTTTACAGATTTAAACCAGAAAGCAGCTTTCCTGAAAGAGATTAATGCTGAATCAAACTAAGATTCTGATATGATTATTTCAAGCCATCATCTCAACATCCTAACAAATTCCAATTTGTAAGTCCCAACAGTTAACATTATGATAGATGGAGAAAAGACTGAAGTTGTCAAGGATTCCATTTTGCTTGGATCAACCAATAATCAACACCCTTGGTAACAGCAGTCAGAAAATTAGGAGACATACTGTATTGGGCAAGTCTGCTTATTGAAGAGCAATAATGTCAATTTGAAGACCAAGGTGTGCCTGATTCAGGCCATGGTCTTCTCAATCACCTGCTACATATCAGAGAGCTGGACAATGAGTAAGAACGACAGAAAAATTATTGATGCCTTTGAACTGTGATACTGGAGAAAAGTACTGACTATCCCATAAACCGTCAAAAGAATAAACAGACATGTCTTGTAAAAGGTGTGGTCAGAGTACTCCTTGGAAGCAAGAAGGGTGAAGCTTCATTGTTCATACTTTAAACATGCAGCTAGGTGAGGAAAAGGGACATCATCCTTAGAAAGATGGAGAGTCAGCAAAGGGGAGGAAGAATAATAATGAGATAGAATGACACTGTGACTTCAGCAATGAACAAGTGTCTCAGAGATGAGGGCACAGGATAGAGCAGGTTTTAGGTTGGCTCTTCATAAGGTCACTATGAATCATATGCCTTGATGGCACCTAACAGTAACAAGAACAACATCAACAACAATGCCTTCCCTTGTTTCACTGAGTAATTCACCTCCACTGTGTACAAGGCACTGGGCTACAGGATTGCAAAATAAACTAGTAAAAATAACTTCCATAACAATCATAGGTCTAGAGCTGAATTCCAAGGACAAAAGTGTCCACATTAGGAAAAACATTATTTGTTTTCAATTATGTTTCCAAAATACTTTTTCTTCAGACTATCAGTTAAAAAGATAAAGTTACATATTTTTGTCTTTAGGTTTGAAAGGTTAACTCTGTGTTAGAAGATTATAGTTTAAAACAGGTTTCCTGAAACTGCTCTTTATTCTAGCGACATGACCGGGTGGGAGCACACAAATATGGTGTGGAGACAATTAATGAAGGGACTGGACATTATTTTTCCTATCCAGTTACACTTAATCAGGTATAGAAGTAGAAAGTGGGAATTACACTATAAGCAAGAAAAGAGTAGAAGAAAACAGCGTATATTTTAGACTTACAAAGAGATCAGGGCTGGGACAAGAAAACACCAACAGTTGCAGTACAGAACCAAAGAAATTGCTATGAAACAGAATAACTCAGAGCCAGAGCCAGACCCCTTTGCTCAATGTTACTGAAGGGCTGGAGAGATGCCATAAGAGGCAGGAGCTGGGTTGCCAAAGTGAAGGCACGTGGCTCGAATCCACCAGTTGCTCTGTGGGAGAAATATGGGCAATCTTCTCCTGTGCATTTACTGTTGGTGAAAACCCACTGGAGGATCAGCTATGATTGACTCGATGGTACATAACAAAACAGAGCTCCATAATACTGATCCAAAGCCAAGAGGATGAAGGTCGAAGGGTCTGTGAGCGCAACTGAGCTGACTGAAGAATTCTGTCCTGTTTCCAGCTAGAACTGCAACCTATTAATCTCTCTATTAAAGTCCTTAATTATGAATATGGTTCTGTGAGTTCCGTGTTGACTTTTTTTGCAAAAGTGGGAGCCCAGTGAGAGAAGAAGGTGCAAGGGTGTGAGGAGATATATATATATAGGAATCTGTGCTGAGGATGTTGTAGATTGTTGCTCCTTGTGGAGATAAAGGAGGTCAAACAGGCTTAACTCCACAACAACCTCACTCTTTTTTTTTTACACTCCTAAAACTAGAAGACTCTATGGCTAACTTTATATCTTCTTTAACATAACTGAAAAACACAAACCTGCTGAAGAGCTGTCACTCCAACGTTCCATCCTGGAAATGTATATAGAAGTTTACTACAAAAAAAATATAGAAATCTATTAGTTTTTTTTCCTAGAGGAAAATAAAATCAACTATATATTATAAAGTAAATAACAGCAGGTAATATTAAGTACTTTGTCTCTGCCAAGCAGTTATTTTAAGTATATGTACTAGTTTAATATTCAAAACAATCTCTCAAAATAAACATTAGTAACATCATTTTCCAGACCAAAGAACTGAGGCAGAGGAATGGAATAATTAGGCTAAGCCTACATAACAGGCCAATTCCAGATCCCAAGCTGTTTACAACTATCCTATGCTGCACTGGAAAGGGAAAGGGGAAAGAACAGTGGGATACACACACATGCATGTTATGTATTGCTCTGGTGACCAAATGGCAACAAACTGTGCTACAATCCGAAGCTGGTCCGAGTCCACCAGCTGCTCCAAGGGAGCAGGATGACCAATCTCCTCCCTTGCAGCAGGAGGGTCAGCTATGAGTTGGTTCTGACTCCATGATACACACCAACTATAAAAATACACATGAAAAGTATTTCATGTTATGTGTTTGTTGTTATAGACCATCAAGTCAGAACAAACTTGTAACTGATCCTCCAGCGAGTTTGCAGAGGTAGTAAACTGTACAGGAGGAGGTTACTCATCTTTTTCCCATGGAGCAGCTGGTGGATTCAAACTGCATGCCTTTGGGTTAGCAGTGCAGCTTCTTAACCACCATGCCACCAGAGCTTCATGGAATAGATGACATTTTTTTTAAAATAATTAAGAATTTTAGCAAATCTTTCTCACTACAAAGTACTTCAAATAGCAATGATAGTATTATAAATTTCAGACTGAAATCATAAATGTTAAATTATAAACCCACTGAGCAAAGATATTAAACATCAACTTATTTATTAAATTCTAAAAATAGGCATAGCTGTAGCACACTCATGACCCAAAGCACGTTGAGTATACAATAAAGAACGTAAGCACGTAAAGATCCTAAACAGATAATCTTAAGGTCAGAGGTAATATGGTATCTCAGATTTTATTACCCTTGAGCCTAACAAAGAGCAGGGAATGATATTTGCTTAGTTTAATCCAAACACTGATAAATTTGAAACTCTGTTGAGAATTTTATTTCCTCTTTCCAGCATATAAGAGCTTTTTCCTCATTGCTCTTGAGTCAGAAATCGACTGATTGATAGCCGACTCTCCAGTGGGTTTTCAGAGGCTATAAACAGGACTGGAGGAGACTGAACATCTTTCTCCCAATCCATCTCTGGATTTGAACCACTTGCCCTGGGGTTGGGAATCCAATTCCTTATATAAAGCTTAAGATAGGACAATATAGATGGTTAATTTTTGTTTGCTTTGCTTTCTTTAGTGACATCTGAGTCTCCATTATTTTTGTCTAGAAAATTTTCAAATACAGGTATTTTCATTCAATCATTACATTTGCAGTTGATGATAAATGTACTTTCCCCATAACAACCATTTCTAAATGCTAGTACCGCATTAACACTGATTTGTTCTGTCTTTCCCTTCCTTTTCATACCAACAAAAACTAGAAGCTGTTCAGTTACATTCATATTATGTTCTGAAGATTCAGTACTCTACTAGAACCTTCTCTACCACTAGAAAGTTTGCATGGTGCAAAGTCAACACATTTAACTGCTAACCAAAAGGTTGAAGGTTTAAATCCACTCAGAGTTGCTTGGGAAGAAAACCTTGGTGCTCTACTTTTGAAAAACCAGCCACTCTATACAACAGTTTTACCCTGATACCAGGGGTCAAAATTAACTTAATGGCAACTAGTCTGGTTTTGGTTTATGTCTATTCTTTAGATACCGGGTCTGCGGGTGTGTGCATTTTTTTTCCTTCTAGCTATATGCCAGGGTTATATGTCAACTTTCATGAGTATCATGCAGGAACAACAATTCTAGAACCAGTCATATTTATTGAATGCCTTTTAAATAAATATATTAAAGCAGAAAGAACTGAATTCTTTAAGTATGCAGTAGGAGGTAGCAGATTAAAGTAAAATAAGGACTACTTATGTTATTTTCTAAAAAGTACTCACTTGGATTTTATATTCCACAATTGCAGGCTTCCTTGTTCACTGCCAAGAAGTATTTTATTTAAGTAGGTACTCGGGTGCAAAATTGCAGAAATCTTAAATATTGACTTATCAAAAGTCAACTGCAGGTATTCTTCTACAAAAATAAGTTAATAGTTCATAATTATTTCCTTAAAAATAACTCAGAATGTTTTTTACATACTTACATGTTTATCACTTAAAAAGATATTTCAAAGATTTAGATAATAATAAAATTAAAACTTATATGCTAGTCTATAAAAACATTCCTTGAAGAATTAATTTATGTGATAAAGGTGTACTTGTAAACCTAAACTAGACTGTTAAAATTTGTCTGTAGTTCTAGCATTACTAAAAATACTGCTCACTAACAAATTGGTTTACAGAAAAGTCAGGATTAAAAAAATAAAAAAAAAAAAACCAACCCAGAGGTCAGCTTTACTTAAAACATGATCAAGAGGCAGAGCAAACGCTCCAAGTGAAATGTTTACAGTGCTGGCTTTTTTCCAAGGAGTGAGAAGAAAAATAGCTGGAAAGCTGCACGAGCCATTCAAGGATATAAAGTAAGACTACAAAACCTAAGAAGACTTCCATGAAACTTACATCTGTATTTCTAATACATTCCCATGGAACCTTGACTAGGACTGTAAAAGGGTTTATCACCCCTATGCAGCTGAGGGAGGCACAGCCAATTTTCAGTTGCTACAGATGTAACAATTTGCAACACTCAAAGTTTCTGGTATCAATGCATAGTCAAGCTCAAAACACAGACCTAAGTGAAAATAATGCAGATTTTACTTTCGATTGTTGTTGTTGTTGTTATGTGCCATCAAGTTGCTTGCGACTCATAGTGACCCTATATACAAGAGCTCTAAACTCCGTTCTATTCTGTGCAAACCTAGCCATCTCAAACACACTCATTCCTACCACTCCAGTCACAGAATAGATTCATCTCATTGAGGGTCTTCCTCTCCTGTGCCCGTCCCTCCACTCTCCCAAACATGATGTCCCCCTCCAAGAGTCCCTCCTTGCAACATGCCCAAAGTTATGTCAGATGAAGCTTCAGAATCCTTCACTCCAAGGAGCACTCCGGCTTCACCTTCTCCAGGACAAACCTGTTTGTTCTCCTAGCAATCCATGGTATATTCAACACTCTTCTCCAGCACCACAGCTCAAAGGCATCAATTCTCTACCATCCCTATTTACTGTTCAACTCTCCAATGCATAGCACGTAAATGCAAAGACTATATCCTGGATCAGACGCACCTTAGTCCCCAGCCTGACGTTGTTTTTCTTCAGTACTCTTGAAAGGTCCCTCACAGCTAACTTTCCCCATGTAATTCATCTCCTGATTTTCTGGCCGCTGTTACCAAGAGAGTGCTGACTGTGGAGCCAAGTAAACTAAAACTGTTATCTCAATCTCTTCACCATCCATATTGATGATGCCAATTGGCCCAGTGCTGAGAATCTTTGTTTTCTTGATGTTGAGCTTCAATCCGTATAGGAGGTTGCAATCCTTGACCTTCTGTAGCAAGTGCTTCAGGTCCTCCTCAGTTTCAGCAAGCAGGGTTGTTTCATCTGCATAATGCAGGTTGTTGATGATTCTTCCATCAATCCTGATGCCACATTCCTCTTCTTATAGCCCAGCATCTCAGAGGATCTGTTCTGCATACAGATTGAAAAGGTATGGAGACAGAATATATCCTTGACGACCCCCCTTCTTGATTTTGAACCATGTAGTGTCTCCTTGCTCTGTTCTGATGACTGTTTCTTGGTCCAAGTATAGGTTTTGCATTAGCACAATCAAATGTTCTGGAATTCCCATTCTTTTCAGAATCAGCCACAGCTTGTTGTGATTTACACAGTTAAAAACCTTTGCATAGTCAATAAAGCACAGATAGACATTCTTCTGGTATTCTTTGCTTTCTATCAAGATCCATTTAACATTAGCTGTAATATCCCTAGTAGTAAGACCTCTTCTAAATCCAGCCTGCACATCTGGCAGTTCTCTGCTGACATACTGCTCCAAACGTTTTTGGATAATTTTCAGCAGAATCTTGCTTGCATGTGATATTAATGATATTGTTCGATAATCGCCACACTCTGTTGGGTCACCTTTCTTTGGAATGGGAACAAATACCGATCTTTTTCCAGTCAGTCAGCCAGCTGGCTGTCCTCCAGACTTCTTGGCACAACTTAGTGACTACATGCAGGGCAGTGTCTGTTTGTTGAAATATGTCAATTGGTGTGCCATCAGCTTGTTCTATATGTAAATTGCAGTAGCTTTCTGAAGAAAATGTGCTAGCATCAGCATCAACAGGGAACCCACTGGACTGGATGACCTTATTCTCAGTAACCTTATAAAAGGCCTTTACCAACCATCCACACATGGTATACATCTGGAATTTTGTTCCCTACACTTGAATTAAAAAAACAAAGAAAGAGTGACTAATTTGGACAAGGACATGGAGTAAATCCTTCAAAGGCAGTCTCCATGACTTTTAATAAAAATTACAAAATAAAGAAATGAGTTAATCAAGAAGTAAATAAGCTAAAAATATAAACAGATGAAAGATGACCTTAAAAGCTCTAATTCATAGTGGGAAAACTAGGATGTTCTGGCAATAAACTCCTAGTTTGACGATCCATAGTCCCATAAACACAGCACAGGGTCATAAAAATATCCCCGTGAATGGATAGTGAAAGCACAATGTTCTTAGAAAAAAAAAGACTTATGTTCTCAGAAAAAGACTGTATATTTTACAGATTACAGAATCTCCAAGTTTAAATGTAGAATTTCCTTCACTACAAGTAAAAGAACACAAGCCAAGAATTACTCAGGTATAAATATATATAACATTTACTCGAGAAATTTCATCAAACTTGACAAAAAAGCAATAGAAAATATACTAGTTAAGATAAACATACTCAATAGGTTCAAGTAGTTGACCAAAACAGCATACCTTACTTCTTCATAAGTTACAAATTACAAAATTTTATTCTTTTTTTATTACATGTAAAATCTCTAGTATAATCTTCCCATAGACATAAAATTTTATTTACAAAGATAAAACAAAATTCCTAATTCTTACTTCTTACCTTCTGAATATATGTGCCAAATAATAAGAATGCTGTCAGTATCAACAGAGATAATGTGATCTCCAAACGGCTGCAAAAGATGGATTTCTGCCTTGTGACCTCTAAATGTATGTACCACCTACAAATGAAAGTTTAAGAGTTTTCTTTTATTATTCATTCACCATGTAATATTATTCAATATAGCAAAAATCGTGTTATTTTGTAGATGCTAGTACTAGGAGATGCAACCAACTTTTGCTGGTCAACCAAAGTTTGTCTAACAAATAAAAACCAAGTTATTAGACATGCTCAATGACTCTTGTGAATCAACTAGTTCAACAATGTTTCTGTGACTGCCCCTGTTCACTTACTAGCCACATCTCCCTCATACTTTTCTTTCTTTGTCCTTCTTTCCCTTCATTGAGCCTGCCAAGATTGGTCAGCCTTCTTAGGAACTCTCATTGTACAGCCCATAGCAAGCTGTACCACTATCCCAAAGGTTACCTATCTCCAGCAGCTCCATGGGAGAAAGGGCAGTTTCCTTCCATTAAGAGTTTTGTTTTCCTATCCAAGCTGTTTATTGGAAATGTCAACTAGATGTAGGATCAAGTCAGTGTGACATGCTTATCAGTAACAGTAGAAAAATAGAACCAGTGAAAACCTTTGTACAACTGTGATGGTACTCAAAAGAGAAACGGATTGTTTCACAATGCTTCACACAGACGAATTCAAGTTTAGAAGTACCTAAATAAAAAGCTATATATTTCTTTAAAAAACACTAGGTACAATTGAAGCATAAACAAGTTTTACAAAGTACTGGTTATGCAGGTTGTAGAAAACACCTGCATAGGACATGAAATCAGTTTAAGAAAAATTTGTGAGCCTTTAGCATTGAAGGCACTTGACTTATACCAGTAACTGCACAACCACAAGAAATGAATGCAGTGTTTTGGGAGCCTCAGAAACAAAAGGAGGGTTGATATGAATCAGAACTAATGTAGCAGCAGAGAGAGAAAGGGGCTTACAAAGTAGCCCCTGATGGCTCAGCAGTTAAGATTAACAAATAGCAAGGAACTGGGCATCTGTATCTGCTCCCTCAACCTCTGGGGATCAGACATTACAAATCTGTACTGAGAGGTAAAATACACAGTCAGGTCCCTCACCCACTGCATCAGCTCAACTCCATAAAGTCATGTTAAGTGTCTCCTCTAGGAGGCTAACCTCTACAGCTCGCCTATCAGCAAGCTTCCACATGAGAAAGGGGGGTGTCAGAACAAGTCTACTTTGAGGCAGAGTCCTTTACAAGGTGAGTAGCTGCATCTTTCCGTAACTACAGGTCTTTCTCCATGGATTCAATTCTTCTGACCCCAGTATACTATCCTTTTGTTCTCTGGGCCTAGGTATGGTAACAGCTTCCCACAGTGGACAGGCTCTGATGCCTCTTCATTCCTACATTATTCCCCTACATAGATCACATCTATCACAAATTGCTGTTCCTTCATTGAAGTCTCCTTACCTGAATCACTTCGGTAGATAATATCTCTTGTCAGAATCATATTACAAGTCAAGACCAAGAACTAATTTTCTAATGTTCTTCTGCTATGTTGGAAAATCTAAATAGCTCAAGGAAAACAAAAATACTTGACTAAAATTCTGACAATTTTTTTCTTGGCTCTAAAAATCTAAACTTAGAGAAATTACTATCTCCTAAGAAGTTATGATGGAAGGCTCTAGGAACAAATCTTGGTCCTAGTCAAACTCTGGCAAGGACAATAATGCTATTTTTCAGTATCCTCACTACCACTTCCCCTTTCACTCTGGCCTACTTCAACCAGATCACCTCCTTTTCAGTTGTTCCAGAAGAAACATTAAGATTCATGTGGCAGATTTACAATGAGATACCCTCACTCCAGTAGTAGTGGCAAAGTTTAACAGGATAGCCAAGTAGTAAATGTTGGAGATGTGGTGAGAAAAAACTCTTAATACAGTGTTGGTGGGATTGTAAAATGGTACAACCACTCTGGAAGGCAGTGTGGTGCTTTCTCAAAAAGTTGAACACAGAAATTTCATATGATCCAGTTATTCCACTTCTTGGAATATACCCTAAGAGAGTGCAAACTGAGGTTCAAATGGAGACTTGGGCATCAATGTTCATAGAAGAAGGTTCTCACCATCTCAAGAACATGGAAACATCCTAGAAGTCCAATCACAACTGAACAGACTAAGAAATTACAGTACATTCACACAATGAAATACTATGCAGCATGCAGAAGCAATGATTTTGTAAATCACTTCCTAACTGGGAGAGACTAGAGACTATTATGATAAGTGAACTAACTCAGTCCCATAAGGACAAACACTATATAAGATGATTATTGTAGAATGTGTATGAGGATCCAAGAAGGGGAGGAGATTGGGAGCAGAGGGGTGAGAATGGATGGGGCAGGGGGAGAAGGGGGGGGCGGGCAGGCTAGTTAATCATAGGGTAGCACAATATGATGGGTAGGTGAAGGAAATGGCAAAGATCCAGTGTGAAAAACAATACATATGAATTCTGTACGTAAACCAGTATCAAATAAAAAAATTATTTAAAAAAAAAAGAATCATGTGGCAGATTTAATTCTGAAGCTCTCTCATTAGCACTGGAGAAAATAAGATTCTAGCTTTTCTTATACAGGCAGTAAACAACAGCTGCTTAGAAAAGGGGTCAAGAAGCAGTCAAGGTACAAAAAGCAGTTATGTAAACACACATCTAGCAAAAATCTTTTCAAAACCAAGTACTATTCCAACACACCTACAAAACAAAAAGCTCCAGTAATGAGATTTGGCAGGTATGAAAATTGTGAAACATCCAAGTATTTCTGAGAAAATGGACACTGAAGTTTTTAATTATGCCTTACCGAGAATTTGAAAAAAAATCCATGTTCTCTCCTTCCAAGGTATGTATATAACACTATTTTGTAAATTATTAGGAGTACCTTTGGTCCTCTATTATTGTGATAATCAACTACTGAACGAATGGGCAAACAAATTATTAAGATAGGATTATGACACAAACCTCTTTATTACGGGCAAATGCAGAGAAAACATTCCCATATGCAGCAAAGACTAGCCTCTCATCAGCTGCCATACAGCAGATATCCTGTGGAACGGAATTACCTAGGAGAAAAGAAATGAAATGTAAAAGATACAGGCTTTTTTAAGATTGTGGGACCAAACAGAACCTTAACATTCACATTTATATTTTTCATAGCTATAATTAAAAAAGAAAAAGTATACAAATGAAGGAGAAAGCTGAGAATTGGAGTTAGCACTTTGACTTCAGTGTTAACTTTAAATGCAGTTCAATATTTTTTTCTAATTTCTCTTGATATTTCTTTAACCTACCTTTCTCCGAAGTGTTATTTAATTCCAAATTCTTTTCAAATTTACTGAAATCTGTATCAATCTGTTACTGATTTCTAGGTTTATACCACTGACAATACACTTTATATTATTTCCAGTCTTTTAAATTTGTTAAACTGCGTTTAATGGTTCAGGATGTGGTCTGTCTTGACGATTGTAAGCTTAAGAACTATGTATTCTGCTGTTGAATAAAGTATTACTTTACTATCAATTATATGCAGCTGACTGATAGTTAAGGTGAACTATGCCATTACTGATCATTTGTCCCATTATTTTAGATATAGAAAATGACCTTTACCTTCTCTAGAAGGAATGTCTAATATTTGAAGACTTAAAAACCTAATTCTAAATAACAGTAATGTGAATATCTTTTAGAATATCAAACTTGGTAACAACTCAAGGAAAATGTTAAAAAGAAATCAAAACCTGATCTTTAACTTCCCTTTAGACTAACCTAATTTCATATGCTTTTCTATATGCCAACCCATGAAATTTAAAAAAAAAAAAAGGGACTGAAGTATGGCTAGCACTCAGTCATCTCTAAGCAAGTATGCCCATGACAGCTACTTCTAATATGATAGAATTTTATTCATCTTTCACTACATTGAACACACCAGCCTTGCCTCTCAACCCTTTTCCCCCTTTTGTGAGTGAGGGCAGGGGATTATCTTAGAAAAAAAATTTTTTTTCTTTTACATTGTACATCCTAATTTCTATTTTGTTTCCATAATTATTTTCATAAATTTATTATTCATTTCTGAATTAAATTCATGTCACAATACCTTTTTTACTACCTTCTTTCTTCCAAAACATTTGAGTTTACTAGACATACACACTAGATACCTTACTCATTGCCTTAGCTTTTCTAATAAGAATAAACATTATTTTAAGTTTAATTCAGCTAATAATCTTTTTCTAATTTCTCTTAAGACTTCTTTGACTCATTTGTTACTCAAGAGTGTTATTTAATTTTCAACTCTTTGGGGATTTTATATTTATCTGCTGTTATGGTGATGGAAGAAACTTTGAAGAATGTGTAAGATACTCAATGTATCTTGCTACAAAATAATTATTACTTTCAAAGGTAAAAGTAATAACTTTAAAGTGACAGATGTTACCTAAACCAAAAATTAAACCTGTCACTTCCAGGTGTAAGATGAAGCAGTAGCACATATTCCTGATATAAAGCATTGAGAACTCAGCATTAATTCTGTTATTTCTGGCAAATTTTATTTCACTTTAACATAAAAAAAACTTGAGTAATAGCCTCACAAACTTAAGCACATTTTTAAAAGAACTAACGTGTACTCTTCCAAACTGTGGATGGATGTCAGAAAAAGTTTAAAGAATAAAAGAGCCTAAAGAGACATGACAATTGAAAGTAACAATGGTATAGGTAGATGTGCCAAACGTGGTAATGGTTACCCATGGTGGACAGTGTTTGCTTCCCTACTAAAACAAGCCTGGAAGCAGGAGTGGTACCTACCAGCTTGCCTCCGGAAACTCTATGTACGAACAGTGCTCAGGCCTTTCATTCATAGGGTCACTATGAGTCGTCTACAACTCAATGGCAACTAACAACAATAACAACTACGACACAGAGAGAGCTATGATGGCCTAGTGGACAGAAAGTTATGCTACCAAGCCCAAGGTGGGTGATTTTAATCTGCGGCCCTCAGGCCGAGCTCAAATTGTTTTCCTGTCAAACATTCTTTTAGGTGGTATAGCACTACAACACCTAACAACAACAAGATAAAGGTTATTGCCGGGATATTTGGCAAAATCTGAATAAATTACAAGAATAAGATATTGTATCAATGTCAAGTCATAATTTTGAATATTTTACCACAAGGAAACTTCTTGCCTTTGAGACATTTATTTAGAGGCAAAGGACCACCATGTCTGAAACTAACTTATAAATGGGCCAGAAAAAAACCAGTGTATATGTTTGTGAGTAAAGAGAGACAAAGAGGCTCCCCCAGGCGGCTGGGTGGAACAAAGCTTGCGCTCCAATGTCTGCTCATCTGCTGCTGGCCTCCCAGGCGCCTTTCCTCCCCACTTGATGTCATCATGCCCAAGAGGTGAAAGGGACCTGCTGACAGATAGATCCAGGCTTTTGAATGCTAATGGTGAACATCAAACACTCCTGAAAAAACAGAATTCTTTAAAAAGGAAAGCAGAAAATGGATCAGAAGAACCAGAAGAAAAGAAAGCACACAGAGATTACTGAGCTTCATCTGCACAGATGATTAATGGCGATTTACCGGCAAATCAATCTGCATGTAATTATAGTGCCTGGTATCAATATAATTATCAGAATCCCTAGAATTATGGACAGTATTTTCCACCTCTTCCAACCTGATGGGAAGATATAAATTTCAGCTGCTGTGTGTGAAAAGTACAAAAGAACTTTTTTAGTAAGGGATGTAAACATAGCTTGTCATTATTTGATAACTTGTCTTCCCTGTTTTCTGTGTAACATGATTTGTTTAGTAATAAGTAAAAATGTCACTTCATAACTACCACAGATACTATTTCCTACCATTTATAAAATGTACTTTTTACTGGAGAACTATTTTTTTTTATTTTTGCATTAAGTTGTCTAGAATAATTTTGAATGCATTTTCGGCAGAGTTTTGTAATTAAAGGGTAGGGAGAAAAACACAACTGACTGCAAATCATGTTAGTGAAGTAGAAGATTCTGAAAACACAAAAGGGCTAGTTATCAAGGAGTTACCTCCTCTGTAAAAAACAAAACTGATTTTTAACCTTTGCTGACATGACAATTAGTTTGTCTGCTGTTTCAGTTATCCTTGTTGCGAATTTGGTTCTTGCATAAAAAGTACACTATTTAAATACTATGCCTTGGACTAGAGATTATAAGAGAAAGTAGAATGTTTGCATCCTTTAAAATGAAATTACATTGAAAGTATGTTGTTTCAGAAGACTTTGTATTTAGAATACTCATGTAAAACTTGTGAGCAAGCTTTCATTTTTATCAAACTAATCATCTTCATTTTTGTAATAAAACTTAAGACTTATCCAGTAAAAAAAGGAAAAAGAGACAGACAAGGAAGCAAAGGTAGCAAAGCATGCACATCTAGGGAATATGGGTAAGGAGCATAAAGGAGTATTTTGTACCATGATTGCAATTTTGCTGGAATCATTAAATGTATGTAAAAATAATAATTTTATAAAAGGAAAAGAAAGTAAACATTTATAAATTAAGAAAAAAATCCACACTTACTTACTGCAACTAGCCTAAGTTTCTGAACCTGTTAAAAGAAAAAAAAATAACTTTTATTAGCAAAAACAATAACCTAATACATGAAGATCAAATCTTAAACACAAATTAGCCATACTGTTCTTAAAAACAACAAAAGAACCAAAAAAATAAAAAAAACAACAGCAAAACCACCAAAACATCAACTAACAAAAACATACTGTCCATTAGAGGGGCTTGTATTTGATTTTTTCCTATCAGCAACACTAATGGCAGGGGATAGTATGCTTTTTTTGTAAATGCCAAAGATAAATATTTCACACTGTTTATGCAATTTCTGTTGCAACCTCTTTTTTTAAAAAAAAAGTACTTTATTTTATTATATTTTTTGTGTGTACCGTCAAATCAGGTCTGACTGGTACAGATGGAGATTGCCCCTCCTTCTCCAAGAAAGCATCTGGTGGATTTGAACTTTGTGCCTCTGGGATTGCAGTGCAGCTTCTTGCCACTAGGCCACCAGAGCTCCCTTCTGTTGCAACCTCTTAACTATTGGAAGCAAACAGTATGAAACAACACATAAATGAAAGTGCATGGATAGATAAATTCCAAAAACTTTATAAGGAAGTAGATTTTCACATAATTATCACATCATAAAGTAATACTCTCCTTTTGACTTTTATCTATTTAAATATATAGGAGCTCTTTATAGCAAATACCTCATTAAAAAAAAAAGAGCAGTGAGTAAAGTGGCTTATAGGCATCAGTTTGCCAACTCTAGCCTATGGTTACTGATACAGTTTCATTATGTAGGAAAGTTATTTAATCTACCTGTTCCTCAAATATCCCATATGTAAAGTAAGAATTAAAATACCAACTTATTTTATGGTATTGTTGTTGTTGTTTTGTACCGTCAAGTTGCTTGCGAATCATAGCGACCCTATGTACAAGAGCCCTAAATGCTGCTCACTGTGCCAACTCACTGTCTTCGACACACCTACTCCCATTACCCCAGTCACTGAATCAATCCATCTCACTGAGGATCTTTCTCTCCTGCGCTGTCCCTCCACCCTCCCAAACATGATGTCCCTCTCCAAGGATTAGTCCCTCATTGCAACATGCTCAAAGTATGTCAGATGGAGCTTTAGAATCCTTGCCTCCGAGGAGCAGTCAGGTTTCACCCTCTCTAGGATTAACCTGTTTGTTCTCCTTTCAGTCCATGGTATATTCAACACTCTTCTCCAGCACTACAGCTCAAAGGTATGTATCAATTCTCTTTCTGTCATCCTTAGTTACTGTCCAGCTCTCTGACACATTACATGCAATTGCAAAGACCATGGCCTAGATCAGGCACACCTTAGTCTCCAGCCTGACATTGCTAGTCTTTAGTACTCTGGAGAGGTTCCTGACAGCTGACTTTCCCAGTACAAATTGTCTCTTGATTTCCTGGCTGCTGGTACCAAGAGTGTTGATCATGGAACCAATTAACACTGTTAACAATCTCAATCTCTTCACCATCCATAATGATGCTGTCCAGTGGTGAGAATCTTTATTTTCTTGATGTTGATCTCCAATCCATACTGAAGGCTGCAGTCTTTGACCTTTTGCAGCAAGGGCTTCAGGTCCTCCTCAGTTTCAGCAAGCAAGGTTGTGTCAACTGCATAACACAGGTTGTTGAAGAATCTTCCTCCAATCCTGATGCCACATTCCTCTTTTATAGCCCAGTGTCCCAGATGATCTGTTCTGCATATAGATTGAAAAGAAATGGAGACAGAATACATCCCTAATGGACCCCCCTTCTTGATTCTGAACCATGCACTGTCTTCTTGCTCTTTTCTGACAACTGCCTCTTGGTTCAAGAACAGGTTTCACATAAGCACAATCAAATGTTCTGGGATTCTCATTCTTCTCAGAGTCAACCAGTTTGTTGTGATCCACACAGTTAAAAGCCTTTGCATAGTCAGTGAAACACAGATAGACATTCTTCTGGTACTCCCTGCTTTCTGGCAAGATCCATCGAACATTAGCTGTAATATCCCTAACTATGACCTCTGGTAAACCCAGTCTGCACATCTGGCAGCTCTCTGCTGACGTGTTCTTCTAGTCATTTTTGGTTAATTTTCAGCAGAATCTTGCTTGCATGTGATATTAATGATATTTTTCGATAATTTCCATACTCTGGCAGGTCACCCTTCTTTGGAATGGGTAAAAGTATTGATCTCTTGGCTATCCACTTCTGAAATAAAAGGCCTTCAAAAACCCTATGTACACTAGAGCAAACTTAGACCAGCAGACATGGCAACTGAGACTGAGGTCTCAGATATGGAAACACAAACGAGGAGGAATGGCAGTAAGCAGACACTCGTGATTAGAACGTGGAATGTGAGAAGCATGAATGTAGGAAAATTGGACGTTGTTAAAAAAAGAAATGGAATGCATGAATATTGACATAGTAGGTATTGGCAAAGTGAGATGGATTGGCATAGGACATTTTGAATCATATGATCTACAATGCAGGGGATGAAAAAGTGAGAAAAAGTAGGGCTGCTTTCATAATGAAGAAAGTTATTTCTAGATCATTTTATGGTATTGGTATAGAAAATTATTGAGAATTTTTAAGTAAGCCACTTAGAGTTGCACCAAACAGTAAATGCTCAATAAATGATATCATCTATATCACCACCATCACTTACTTACAATTGATTTTGTAAAAGGGTTGGCTGTGTCATCATCTTAAAGGTTATCAAGTCAGTTCCAACCACTGTGCCCCTATGTACAACAAAAAACACCCCGTCCTATTCTGCACCATCCTCATAATCTTGGCTGTGCTTAAACTCATTGCTATAGTCACCTGCCAATCTATTTCATTAAAGGCTTTCTCTTTTTCACCCATCCTTTACTTTTCCAAGCATGAGAGCTTTCCCCAGGGACTGGTCTCTCCTGAGAACATGTACAAAGCAGGTAAGAAGTCTCACCTTCCTTGCTTCTAAGGACCACTCAGGCTACACTTCTTCCAAGATAATCTGTTTACTCTTTTAGAGGTCTACAGAGTGTTCCATTTTTTTCATTTCTTTGCCGTATCTCAACTCAAAGATGTCAACCCTTCTTTTATCTTGCTCGTTCAACACTGTCCAACTTTCACATACATATGAAGCAAGTGAAAATACCACACCTTTGGTCAGGAGTATCCTTGTTCTTCAAGTACTTTAAAGAGGTCCATGCAACAGATTTGCCCATTGCAGTACATTTTTTGATTTCCTGACTGCTGCTACCATTAGTACTGAATGGATATCCATGTACAATGAAATTCTTGAACAACTTCTGTCTTTTCTCCATTTACAATTACACTATTTGTCCAGTTACTAGGATTTTTGTTTTCTTAATGTTGAGGTATAATCCATGATGAAAACTAGAAAGTTTTTATTTTCTTCAGTAATTGCTTCAAATTCTCTTCATTTTCGGTAAGGTTGTGTCACATGCATATCAAAGGCTGCTGTTTCTTCCTCCAATCCTGATGCCACTTTCTTAAACATAGTTCAAATTTTCTAAGTATTTGCTCAGTATAGAGATGGATATATTTGGAGAAGGTACAACCAATATGCTCCTTGGAGGCAAAGATGGTAAAGCTTCATCACATACTTTGGGAACATTTCTAGAAGAGGCTATTCCTTGGAGAGTAACATCATGCTTGGAAATGTGGAGGGACAGCTAAAGAAAGGACAACCTTCAATCAGACAGCCTGACAGTGACTGCAGCAATGGACTCAAGTATGTTAGAGATTGTAAGGATGGCACAGATTAGGACTGGGTTCAGATCAGTTGTTTATAGGGTTGCTATAAGTCATATTTGATCAACAGCACCTAACAACAAGAAAATACAGATTGAATAAGTATAGTGAAAAGCCACAGGCCTGATTTTAAACCATGCAGTTCTGTTTAAACAACTGATTTCGATTCTACCTATAGCTTTTACAAGAGTACAATCAAATGTTCTGGAGTTATCATTCTTCTCAATGATTTATTATTTATTATAAATCATTCTCAATAATTTATTATTATTCACATAGTTGAATGTCTTTGGATAGTCAATTTATAACAAATAAACATCTTTCTGGTTGGTATTCAATACTTTCAGCTAAGATTAACCTGAGATCAACAACGATGTTCTTCCTTTAATGGCTTCTTCTGAATCTATCTTTAGGATGTCATAATAACCATGACCATAGGACAGAGCACATGTGGACGTGGACAAAACTAGTAACTTGCATTTAGTAGTAACATTTTTCTATTTTCAAGTTAGTTTCAGGTTCAAAGTTCATACACGTTAAGTGGCCCTAGCAGTCACAGTTGTTGTTCTTGTGTGTTACTGAGTGGGAACTAACTCATAGCTGAACCTCTAGTGGGTTTTCAGAGAAAGTTAATCTCACTGGGAGGAGATTGTTGTTACTGAACCATGTGCCTTTAGGACTGCAGCAGTTTCTTACAACTAGGCCACCAGAGTTCCCGTAGTAGTATACAGAGCCCACAGGAAATAAGCACTTATATACTATGATGTAATGACTGTTGTTGTCTGCTGCCAAGGCAGAAACAACCCATAGTGGACCCTCTACTGGGTCTTCAGTTGCTATAAATCGCATGGGAGTAGATTGCGCACAGACAGTAGGTGGATTCAAACCACCTGCCTTTGGGTTGACTGCACAACTCCTTACCCACTAAGGCCACGAGAAATTCATCAGTAGTATTAAAACTAGGAGCTCTGTAAAGGTTGACAGGCTTTGAAATTCACTTCCACCAAGATCATAGTCAACAAAACTCTATGGAACAGTTTCACTCTAAAACATGGAGTTAACGATAAATCTGAATAAACAAGATGCAAGTTATGAACAAGTAGCATGTTGCACCACTAATCAAAAGGCCACATGTCTCCGGTGGTTCTAATCTGCCAGCAGCTCAGAAGGAGAAACATGGGGATTTACAGTCTCAAAATTCTACTAGTCGGTCTCTATTAGTCAGATGTGATCAAAAGTACTGAATGAATAATACTGTTCAAACTAGTTGTTAGGTGCCATCAAGTTGTGTACACCCATAATCCTAAGAACAACAGATGTGAACCCTGTCTTATCCTCTGACATCATCAAACTAAGCAGGGGACTTAAAAACATCTTTATTTTAATGTCTGAGTTTCAAGGGATAGATATGCAAATCATTAAATTTGTAACTTATCAGGAAATTCACTGCCAAAACCAAGATTTCAAGCTCTAGGCTTTGAGAAATCCTACTGCTTTCCACTCCACCTCCTTTTTTTGGTTCTTCCACAAACCTTCCCAGGAGTCTTTCTTGCTAACAATACATTTTCACAATTCTTCAAGAAAGACAGCTTCATCAACATGATGCCAGTTCGTTAATAATGGCTATTACCATCCTCTTTCTCATGTGTTCTTACTCTGACAAGAGTTTACATTCTGTTAGAGAAGAAACATATAAGCAACAGACTAAGAAGTTTAATGACTGGTGAAATAGTAAAGAAGAAAAATCACCAATTTCACCAAGCTAGGCCTTAAACAAGTAACCAAATTGTTCTCAGTTTTAGTATTTAATAGTGCTATTGAATACCAATCGAAAAGTGAAACAATGTATTGTATTAGGCAAATCTATTACATAAGATCTCTTTAAAATGTTTAAAGAGTAAAGATTAGTTTTGAAAAGGAAGGTACACTGGACTCAAGTCATAGTATTTTTCAATTGCCTCTTTGCATATGAAAACTGAACAATGAATATGGAGTTAAGAACTGGTGCCTTTGAATAATCATGCTATCAAAAAATACTAAACACACTTTGCCAAAAGAAGAAACAAATCTGTTTTAACAGATACATGTTCATTAAAAGTTTAAGATTAGAAGCCTGCATCTTAAGTACACGATTATATTATCAAAAGGTGCTAGTCCCTGGAGAAGCGTATGTGCTTGGTCAAGTAGAGGTGCTCTGAAAAAAAGAGAATCTCAATGAGTTGTGACATGGGGTCTCACAAAAAAAATTATAAAGAAAGCACGGAACAAGGATGTATTTCATATTGTTGTATTTAAGTCTTTATGAGTCTGCATCAACTTGAAGGCGCACAGTACCAGTGCCAGAAGCAGAGAATAGTAATATATACTAGAAAATGCTTGAAAGCTTAAAATGGCACCATGTTGGATGATGTTGGTATAAAAGAGATTATTATCAAGGGAAGTTTAGAGGAAATAAATATATGTAGTATATGTAAAGAGTCTTCTAGATTATAATTAATGGTGCCCTCACCAATTCTCTTTATGTTGTCAAAATTTCTTAAACAGTGTCACTAATTGCACAATAAAATTGCGAATCTTTCTCATTAAGAACAAGCGGGGAGGGGCGCTTGTCTTAAGTAACTTTACGCCTTTAAGTGAAAGCAGCCAATAAATATTTACTAGACTAGGGAGGTCAGAAGAATTGACGCCTTTGAGCTGTGGTGCTGGAGAAGAGTATTGAATGTACCATGGACTGCCAAGAAAACAAACAGATTCATCCTAGAGAGGGTTAAACCAGGCTACTCCTTGGAGGCAAAGATTCTGGGGCTTCGTCTGACATAATTTGGACATGATGCAAGGAGAGACAGGTCTTTGGAGAGGGACATCATGCTGGGTAGAGTAGAGGGACAATGCAGGAGGGGAAGACCCTCTATGAGGTCGATTGTGACTGGGGTAATCGGGATGGGTGTGTCAGAGGCAATGCGATTGGCACAGGATAGAGCAGGGTTTAGGGCTGTTGTACATAGGGTCGCTATGAGTCGCAAACGACTCGACGGCACATAACAACAACAACGGACGAATAAACTACGATAGCACTCAGAAGTTCTGTGGTACTTAAAACAGTTGGCCTCCGATGTGCAATCCCTGCCTAGTTTGTAAGATCAGCACGTGGATGGTGGAAACGATCAAACAGCAAAAAGGGTTAAGAAAGAAATAAGCACAAAGGGAAATTCTAAGTAAGAAGGGACCCGAAATATCCCCAGGGCCGAACAGAAGGTGGAGAGTAAGCGATGGGAAAATACACTCACGTCGTAGGTATGGAAGCTCTTGCCCACGCAGGTAGTCACATAGAACCGACGCTTCAAGGCGCTGAACCGCACCACGTGTGGAATGTCGTTGCTGAAAAGTCCCAAGGCCCGGAATCCCGCGAACAGCGCACTGGCTGTGCGGCCTCCCCTGCCTGGTTCCATTGCAGACCCCGCCTCAGTTCTTCACCAAAAGGATGCTAATACACAGCATGAACCCGATCCTTCAGCAGCTCTCGCGGCTGAATTCTTAACTCCAGATGGAGAGTCCGGAGCACTTCCGGTACCGCGTGCCAATCACAGTGCAGAGCGTGCCTTCCGTGCAACCTAAAAAGAGATTCCTCTGGAGCGTGCATGAGGGGCGTAACTTAAGTTCCACAGGACCTACGTTCCCAGAGTATTTCCTGGAGGTGCTCCTTTGTTATGTGCTATCGCGACTCATAGCGACCCTATGTACAAGAGCTCTAAATGTTGTTCTATCCTATGCCAACGTAGCCATCTCAAACGCACTTATTCCCACCGCTCCAGTCACATTTTAGGCCAGGTTAAATTGAAGGGAATTCTAGTCACTTTCCAGTCCTCTGGTGGCCTAGCCGTAAGGGGCTTCGCTGCCAAATCGAGGGCAGGCGGTTCGAAATTACCAACAGCTCCGCAGAAGGAACATGGGCAATACAGCTCTCGTAGGATTTACTGCTTCTTGAAAACCCGCCGGAGGGTCTATCAAGTTCCGACTCCATGGTACTTTAAGAAGTCACTTTATGAAGAAAATCTGGAGGCAGGTAGTAACTCTTATGGGAGGAAATTGCCCATCTTCTCCCGTTGAGCTGCCCCTCCTTTGAATTAGCACCCCATATCTTTATGGACATCAGTATTATTTCCACGCTGCGTTTATTAACGGTGTTATTTACAACAGAGCAGAGCGCTGGTGACCTAGTCTTTAACAAATGTGAAAAAACAGTGTATACCAATTTTATAAGCAAACCAGTATAAAATAAATTTTTTTGTTGTTGTTAAGAAAAAATAAAAATGTATTTTTAAAAATGTTATGCTGCTAACCCAAATGTGGCACATCTTTGGCTGTTCAAATGCACCAACATCCACCTGAGAAAGAAGGACTATCTGCTCCCCTGTAATTTAATCTCCTAAAAACCCCCTGCAGGATCAACATGAGTTTGCTAGGACTCAAAGGCATGGAGCTGAGTTTTGTTATTATTTGTAATAGCAAAGAGTTAGAAACAAATCAAGTGCCTATTAATGGGTGAATAGGTAACGAAACTGGAATATTCATAGAATGCAGTATGATACACTGCTAAAAATTTTTCAAGAATTACTGAAATACTGCACAGCATAGATTTAAATAGAACAAATTACATTTGAGTCTCATAAATCAGTCACAAAAGAACAATTATGACATAAAACTGTTCATATAAAAGCTATAAAACACGAGAGGGAATGAAGTTGAAAGTGAAGGGGTGAAATGGTTATTCTTAGCCTATTTTAAAAAAATACTCCATTATTAATAGGGTTATTCATCATTTTAACCAATTATGGATAAGACTGAGAACAATGGGAATCCCAGAACAGTTGGTTAAACCTATATATAGTCCAATCAGGAAAAGTGTGTATCAGAGTTACCTCCTTTCACTATACCTACTCAATCTATGTTGTGTAAATAATTGGAAAAACTGTACTATATGAAGAATGTGGCATAAAGATAAAAAGAAGACTCATCAACAATCTGCATCTGACTTTAGAGCACATAACAGCAAAATATATATATGAAAACAAATATTTCTTAAACTATGAAATGATGCTTTCTTGTTTCTTAAAGTTGCATTTTGTGCACATTTAATGATTTATTTTAGTCTTAATTGTGCTTTTGTGATATCTTGGATGTGCAATAATTTTTCAATATGGTCTAAACCAAGTTAACTGGGTTTTGCAGGCACAAGTCATAAAGTTACAAGGGTTCTCATTGGAAGGGATTGTAACACACTGTCGCTTGAAAGATGTTCCCAAGGTCAGAGGTGTTAAGATGTAATGTAGACTTTGTAAAACTATAAGTAATTTGTTATAGTTTAAAATAATTATTTTTCTTCTTGTTACTATTATTGTCCTTGTTATCATAACAAAAATTACTTGTATATTACAGATGACTATTTTATGCACTAAAAAGAATAAATTATAATAATTATATAATTCTTCACTATGGAAAAGTCTGGTGGAAAAAATAATTTTTAGTATTTTGTTGTTCTTATGTGCAGTCGAATCACCTGCAACCCATAGCAACCCTGTTGTACAGCAGCTCTAAACCCTGCCCAGTCCTGAGCCACTCTAATTCCAACACACCAACTCCATTGCCCCAGTTACTGTATCAAACCATCTCACCGGCGGTCTTCCTCTCCTGCACTGTCCCTCCACCCTTCTGAGCATGATGTCCTTCTCCAAAGACTGGTGTCTCCTGGCCACGTGCCCAAAATATGTGACAAGGAGCTTCAAAATCCTAGGTACCAAGAAGAAACTTGAATTCACTCTTTCCAAGGCAGACCTTTTCGCTTTCTTGGCAGTCCATGTATGTTCAAGACTCTTTTCCAGCACCACAATTCGAAGGTGTTGATCCTTCATCTGTCATCCTTAGTCGTTGTCCAGCTCACTGATGCATAGCAAGTAATTGTGAGGACCATGGCCTGGATCAGGTGCACCTTAGTTTCTATAATGACATCATTGCTTTTCACCAATCTGGAAAGGTCCATCACAGCAGATTTTCCCAATGCAATTCATCTTTTGATTTCCTGACTGCTGATGTTGAGAGTGTCGATTGTGGAGCCCGGCAGCTGTAATTGTTAACAACCTCAATTTCTTCTCCATTTATCATGGTGCTGCCAGTTGTCCCAGTGGTAAGAATCTTTGTCTTCTTGACAATCCATATTGAAGACTATAGTATTTGACCTTCTGCAGCAAGCACTTCAGACCTTTTTCAGTTTCAGCAAGCAAGTTTGGGTCATCTGCATAATGTAGGTTGTTGATGAGTCTTCCTCTAATTCTGATGCCACATTCTTCCTCATAAAGCCCTGCTTCCTGAATGATAGATTCTGCATATAGATTGAAAAGGTATGGAGGCAGGATGCATCCCTGACACACTCCTTTCCCGATTTTGAACCATGCATTGTTTCCCTGCTCTGTTCTGAGGTCTGCTTCCTGGTCCAAATACAGGTTTTGCGTAAACACAATCAAGTGTTCTGGGATTCTCATTTTCCTCAAGGTTAGCTACAATTTGTTGAGATTCACAGAGTCAAATCCCATGGCATAGTCAATGAAGCACAGATAGACATTCCTCTGGTACTTTTTGCTTTCTGCCAAGATCCATCTGACATTGGCACTAATGTCTCTAGTGCCATGAATTCTAAACCCAGCTTGTATTTCTGGTTGTTCTCTGTCAAAGTGCTGTTCCAGCAGTTTCTGGATAATCTTTTGCAGGATTTTGCTAGTGTGTGATATTAATGATATTGTTGTTATGTGCCATTGAGTCGCCTGCGACTCATAGTGACCCTGTGTACAACAGCCCTAATCTGTGCTCTATTCTATGCCACTCATATTGTCTCTGACACACCTACCTCATTACCCCAGTCACTGAATCAATCCATCTCATTGAGGATCTTCCTCTCTTGTGCTGTCCCTCCACTCTCCCAAGCATTACATCCCTCTCCAAGTACTGGTCCCTCCTTGATATTAATGATATTGTTTGATAATTTCCACACTCTGTCAGGTCACCTATTTTTGGAATGGGAATAAATATGGTCTCTTCCAGTCAGTTAGTTGAGTAATTGTTCTCCAGATCTCTTGGCACAACTTGGTGAGCACATCTAGGGCAGTATCTATTTGTTGAAATACAACAATTATTATTCCATCATTTTCTGGGCCTTTATGTTTTGCCAAGGCCTTCAGAACAGCCTGAACTTCCTCCTTCATCACCACTGCCTATTGATCATATGCTGTTTCTTGAAATTCTTCTGTGTCAGTCAATTCTTTTTGGTACAATGATTCTGTGTACTCCTTCTATCTTCTTTTAATGCTTTCTGGATCATTCAGTATTCTGCCCATATCATCCTTAAGCATTACGTCTCGTAGGTTGAATATGTTTCAGTTCCTTGAGCTTAAGGAATGCTGAGCAAATTTGGCCCTTGTGATTTTCTGACTCCAGCTCCTTGCACATTTCATTTCAATACTTTGCCTTGTCTTCCCAAGTTGCCCTTTGAAATAATCTATTAAATTCCTTAACTTCTTGATTTCTTCTCTTTATTTTGGCTTCTCAGCACTCTAGTGCAATATTCAGTGTCTCTTCTGACAGCAATTTTGGTCTTTTCTTCTTTCTACTTTGCATTCTTCATGAACAATATTCTTGATATCTTCCCACAGCTCATCTGGGCTTTGTTCACTAGTATTCAAGGTCTCAAACCTGCACAGAAAACAATTTTTTCCCCTTTTTCAGCATAAATTCTTGTGGGTACCTCTCAGAACAAATGTCATCAATACTCTGACATTCAGTTATTTCCTTTTTGGTCTGTGTATTTTTGCATCCAAGTCTTCCAGATCTGATGGGAAGCAGGCCTCTAGAGCGGGTTTTCCTTGAAAATAAAAGCTGACAGTACTTCTGTGTGTGATAGCACAGGAGGACGCCCAGTGGTATGAGCCAGGCTCCACACCTTGCTTTCTTCTCAACTTCTACTTCACTTGTGACTTACTCACTCATTACTGTAGAGTCTGAATCCTCACATAGCTGACACTCAAGTGGATTTTCAGAGGTCTTAGTGCAATCATCATAGGAGGCTACCTATCTTTCTCTAGTGGAGTCAAAGGTGAATTTGATTTTCCAGAAATACATCATCTTTGTGTTAACAGTGCAACTTCTATTTTTTTTTAGAAAAAAAGTTGTATTTAGAATTAGCCAGCTATACTCAGTTTCACAGAACGTTAAATGATCCCGGAAGCATTAAAAAAAGATGGAAGGAATATACTGAGTCACTGTATCGAAAGGAATTGGAAGACACAGAAGAATTTCATGAAACAACATATGAGCAAGAGCC